TCCCTCTTTGATTATTTAAAAAAGCAAGAACTATATACAAATATCTCAATGAAAACCTATTGTCTAATCAGAGAGACGAACCTATGAATGGAACTTTTAGACGGAGAGGTCAATTGTTAATGTAATATCGAATACTTCGATGTTATCATTTACATGACATGACAATATAAATTCATGCATAAGAAAAAAAGAAAAAAATAGTACTTTGGTAAACTTTAGCTATCGGTTTAGGCTAACAATTAATAGGAAAATATTCTAGATAATATTATTTGATTATTAAATTATAATATATAAATGATTTCAGAGAGATTAATCCATTTTGCCACTTATATAAATACGCAAGAGGAAGACAACAATTCCCATTACTTAGCCGCCTTTTGACATCAACTTTGTAGGTATGCTTCTTAGCATTGTTGGTAATTGAAAAGGATGTCTCCAGAGAACAAAAATAAAACAAGCAAAAATCTCTGGAAACGATTGCGATTGAAATGAGAAAACTTCGTTCGAGTGAATAAAACTACTTAACCCCCACCATATAAATTCGAAATTGATTTAGTGCGAAATGAAAGCCGTTACAAAAGTTATTTCGTCGAAGGGTGGATTTATATTCATACCCCGCCGGCTTGTGCTAAGTTTATGGGAAAATATCTTTATAGGTTCCCCTTTACCCCAGCTCGCTATCTCGCTGTAATTGCCTTTAAAGGGCCGTTACGTTCGAATTTATTTCATTTGCGTTAAATTTTACGGGCCGGAAATAAGTATTTATGACCGTTTTTAAAAAACGGGCGCCATAAAACGATTAAACCCTTTCTATTCGCGTCGGAGTAAAACGAAACCAGGTTAAAATAATCCAGAAAGATCGATCTAAGGTAATTATATAGAAAAAATAAACCAATACCATGCTACCGATTTTCATTTTATTTATAGTCTTAAAATGACGGTTACGTTACACGTCACTCAGTAAATATATTGGTGCTATTTTGCTAAAATGTACCCAAAAACTAATGGACGTGGAAAAAGCAGTATGGAGCACATAAAATTCTTCGGTTACTTGTTCCGCTCGTGTCGAATCAACTTCGTGATTAAAGCGTTCCTTATCAAACTTGATGCATAAATATGCTTAAATAAGTTTAAGTATTTCAAACAGAGTTTATAATATTAATAATAATAATAATAATAATAATAATAGAATAGAATAGAATAGAATAGAATTTATTGGCCATTCAGATACGTCACAAAAACAACAAATGGTACGTCAAAGGTTAACAATACAAAAGAATTTATATATATATAATATAAAAGGTTGTACAAATAATAATAATAATAATAATAATAATAATAATAATAATAATAATAATAATAATAATAATAATAATAATAATAATAGAATAGAATAGAATAGAATTTATTGGCCATTCAGATACGTCACAAAAACAACAAATGGTACGTCAAAGGTTAACAATACAAAAGAATTTATATATATAATATAAAAGGTTGTACAAATTTTGAGAACTAACACACTAACGCAGTGGTCTATTCAAGTGTAGTATGTTTGATCAACTCCAAGTATTCATTAATATCATAGAAAGGATTATCAGTAAAAAAACTTTTCATTCTCTTTTTAAATTGTCTGTATGGTAGATTTTTTATATTATTTGGGAGAACATTATACAGTTTAACATTAATCTTATTGTTTTGTGAGGACGTCAGTCTGGAGTGAGGTGGGGTGATCATGTCAACATACCTAGTATTATACTCATGTCTATTGCCAAGTGTCCCATAGACATCCGCGTTTTCGTGAATATACAAGATAGATCGGTATATATAAGTAGAAGGCAGCGTCATAACCTGGAAGTCAGAGAAAATGGGCTTGCAGTGGGCAATCGGGTTGGCACCGCAGAGCACCCGCACAGCCTTCTTTTGCAAACGAAAAGCTCTTTCCGTATATCCAACCCCACCCCAAAGCACAATGCCATAAGACAGCACACTATGAAAAAGCCCAAAATAGGCTATCCTAAGGGCCGCCGGGGTTAGACAATGGCTGAGATGTCTCAGTAGGAACAGTCGCCGAGACAACGTTGCACAGACCTCATGAATCTGGCCTGACCATGACAGAGTCCTGTCAATTACGAATCCCAAGAGGGTTATATTATTTTGATACAGATAGTCGACTTTACTGCAGGAGAAGGTAAGTTCTTGAGTTTTTTGTTTATTGAGGACTAAGTTATTTGCAGAAAACCATTGCTGGAGAACATTTGTTGCTACGCTGACATCTTCACTAAGCATTCGTTGATGCTTAGCTGTTAACAGAATGGCAGTGTCGTCAGCAAACAAGGTGACATTCGCATCTGGCACGGACAATGGCAGATCATTTATATAAATGATGAAGAGCAACGGCCCAAGAACCGAGCCCTGTGGGACACCGCAGCTCACTGGAAGAGCATCATCACTCGACACTCCACCAAACTCAACATACTGAAACCGGTTACTAAGATACGATTTTATTAACTTTAGAGGGATACCTCTGACGCCATAAAATTTTAATTTGTTTAAGAGCACATCGTGATCGACGCAGTCAAACGCTTTCGTAAGGTCGTACAGAAGTGCCTTTGATACGTCGCCAGCATCGAAACCCCGCACCATACTGTTCACAAAGTGCATAAGTGCATGGGTCGTGGATTTCCCCTCACGAAAGCCAAACTGCGATTCACACAGAAGTTTATTTTCCTCAAAAAACAGTGACAGGCGAGCCTTCAGGGCTTTCTCAATGACTTTACCGAATATAGGGGTAATTGCAATGGGCCTAAAGTTATTTGGTGTATGTTGATCGTCTTTTTTGTGAATGGGAATTATTTTTGAAAGTTTTAGATCCGAAGGAAATACGCCACTCGAAAACACTGCGTTCGTTATGGCTGCCAGGGGACCCACGATGTACTCAATGGTGTGTTTCAATATTTTTGAATTTAAGCCGAAGCAATCGGTAGAACTTGAGTTGTTTAGACCCATAATAATGCCATACATCTCACTCTCAGAGACCGGGCTTAAGAAGAAAGATTTACACGGAGAGGGTGTTTTCGTAAGGTACACATATGGGTCACTGGATTTCCCAATGGATGATACTAGGTCATTTACTACATTGGAGAAGTAAGAGTTAAATTCGTTGGGTGTGATTGAGTTGGGTATAGCCTTTGAGGCTCGGTTAGTTTCATGGTTAATCAAGGTCCAACAACTTTTACTCATGTTGCCGGCTCTAGTTATAAAATTGGCATATGCCTTGGATTTTGTTTCTTTGATCATTCTTTTGTAGTTAGCATTAGCCAGTTTATACTCAGCCCAACTGTCGCGTGGGGAAAATATTCGACACTTGGCTTTTAAAAGCATCACGTGATCCCTCATAAGTTTGAGGTCACGATTGAACCAGACCACGGGGGGACGGAAGGAATTACTGCGCTTTACGACTTTAAAGTGATTCTGGATATTGGCGGTGAAGATATGAAGCAGTTCTTTTGTTGAGTTGGTCGGATCGGCGTTAGTATTAATAAAAGGTTCCCAATCGGTGCTCTCAAAACTTGTGCAGAGGTTATTCAGACCCGCCTGGGTAATTGGTCTGAATTGAATATGGTCATCGTGCACAGAGGAAACATCAAAGTGTAATTCCATAAAAACAGCGGAATGATCAGAGAATGCTGGATCCTCACTGCCCGCAGTGAACAGAGTGGGGGATATATTGACAAGGAAATTATCAATGCAACTTGACGTAGTTTCAGTTATACGGGTATGGTCAGCGACACTAGGGGAGATTCCAAAGGTGGCAAGTAAGTTGACAAAATCCATCGTTAGAGCATTTGAAGTCAGGTTGAATTTGATATTAAAGTCACCTGTAATAATAAGTTTTCTCTTCTTAGAGTAGAGGTCATTTAAAAGAAGTTCTAGCCTGGATATAAATAGATAAGGGTCGCCGTGGCTCCCCGATCTATATACATTGATAACTACGGTATTTTTGTGGGTTAATTCAATGCCGCAAAATTCGGCATGGATGTCTAGTGAGTATTTATCTAAATCTAAAGTTCTACAGTTGACTTTGTGTTTACTATAAATTGATACGCCCCCTCTGACCGCAGTCTGACGGCATCGAAAGCTTTTCAATAGAAAATTATTTACACATATTGATTTTAAAAGTTCTTCATCACAGACAAAGTGTTCAGATAGACAGAGAATATCTACATTTTTATCCAGCAAATAACCGTTGAGTAAGTCAATTTTACTAGAGAGACCATGAATATTTAAGCTAAGAATACTTAGAGTACCTTTATTACTTGGGTTGCTGCCCCGAAGCACGCCGACCGAAAAAACGATTCACGAGCACTCCAGTGGGCCAAATGGAAGGATTAAGAATCTTCCCTGAGTCAGCGTCCAACACCGTGCACTTGAAAGATGCATAACTTTCAGGGAACATGGATCGAATTTGCTCCACTTGAACCTCCGCAACCATAGGCTTCAGATATTCTTCAATGTCACAGGCTCTAGTCGTCGGATGCATCTTGGAGATGTGGAACTGTGTCCTTCTGGTTGCTACCTGTAACTTACAGGACGCAGGGTCTTTAAGACTGCCCACTATCGGCTGAGGTCTGGAAGTGAGCTTGGGACGAGGTGGTCTCTCCACTTTTGTTTGGGGTGGACGGAGATCACTGGCAGGACCGGAACCAGGAACAAGGTTGTCGCTGGAGGTCAAGCTGATGATCTCGCTGCACTTATTCCGCACTGTAGCCTCGTGTAGAGCACCACCAACAGTCGATTCGGTTAATCTTTGTTGTGGGGCTGTAGTTCTCCTCCACCCGTCAGCCGGCACATCAAGTTTAGTGCCTGGATTACGTGCCCCGCCGACAACAACGGGAAGAACCGGGCAGACATGGGATGCGGACTCTCTCTTTAACATAGCCATCTGATCTTGAAGGGAATTAATAACCATTAACTGGTAACGTATTGTTTCATCTTTTTGTTTGAGCAGCTCTTTCAGATACCGTATTTCAGTGAGATGGTTACTGGATATGTGGTCAGCCAACGGCTGGTCGCTGGTATTCCCTGCGTCCACAGTGGCGGATTCAGTGGAGGCGGTGGAGGGCCCAGCGGTCTTGTCGACGACACGAGGGTCATATGTGCAGCAGTCTATTTTATCATCCTGCAGAATTTTAACGAATTTACATATTTTGGCACAAGACTTGTGCATTAGAACACCACAGACGATGCACTTCAGACCCGTGCCAGCAACACCGTCACAGCGCTTACAGGCTTTTTGCACCATTGCTATACGTCAGTTTAAGTTATTTAGCACAAAACCGAAAAACAATCGGATCCGAACTGTACAATAAGTTTTCTACGAACCGTGGGCGGAAACAACCTTTTCACGCGCTCTCCGAAAGGCAAAAAAGGTGGGTGATCCTAAGGAAATAAACCGATCGGTTTATACGCGTAATAAAGAATGATTTCAATGACACCAATAAGTACTGTAGTTCACACCACACTTATGTTATTAGTAAAACACTTTTGAAGATTTAATTTGAACTTTAACTACGATTTTAAGGAAGACACGTGGAGAGAGCACTCAGTAGCTTGTGGTCCGCTTACGCCAGCGGTAATGAATAATAATAATAATAATAATAATAATAATAATAATAATAATAATAATAATATAAATAATAATAATAACAAGGAGCATTATTTAAATTGTGCACCTTGCTACAAGAAACAATAAGATGGTTCGTATTATTTTCGTTTAACTGCAGGGAGTTCGAGCCGAACCATCCAAGCGCTCTTGTTGGTCACACTATCGATACTAGCTCGGGATAAAAGAATTTATCATACGCGTAGAAGGTAGTATTACATAGTATGTGGGAAGGCAAATCGTTGATGTAAACTATGAACAGCAGGAGCCCGAGGACCGAACCCTGCAGCACTCCAGACGATGCCGGTATGCAATTCGACACATTGAAGTCTGCCGCTCAGATAAAGAGCGCAATAATCGGTGAGGCATGCCCCTGATACCATAGCACTTGAGCTTCTGCATCAGCACTCCACGATCCACACAATCAAAAGCCTTCGTGTGCACAAGAGTTTATGTTTTTCAAAATAGTTCAATAATCGATCTTTTAAGATTTTTTCGACGACCTTGCCTATTATATGGATGATTTCAATAGGTCTATAATTTGAAGGGATGTTAGCATCTCCCTTCTCGTGTAGTGGCACATTCCTGCTTGCTTTTAACTGATCTGGAAATATCCTCTCGTCTCGAACATCTGGTTAATTAGATGAGCTATTGGGTTAGCTAAAAAATTTGCGCTATGTTTAAGAATTTTTGAACTTTGATTGTAAATGTCTAGAGAATTAGAATTACTCAAATGTAGAATTGTCCAGGATCCAGTAAAAATAATCCTGTGGGGCTTGATAACCTTCTGATATAGAGCCTTTGATCATTTACCTTTTTTCGTTCTGAAATCTGTCTTCTTTCAACCTAAAATCAGTTTTCACATTAATGAAAACGCCTTCATCGGAAAAACCAGGCTCGACGTTACCAGTGCTGTAAAAGATATCACAAAATTTTACCATAATGTTGTCAATGCAATTTGCTGAATAGTAAGTAATTCTAGTATTTTCTGAAATGATTCCATGCATTTCAAAAGAGGACAGCATGTTCAGTAACTCATTCCGATCAGCAGCATCACTCAAATTAAACTTAACAGTGAAATGAATAAATTTCAGCGGGCAAGAGTTCAAAAGTCTACAAATTCTACAAATATAGAAAATTTGCCTCGAGAGCCCCAGCGATAAATATTGATTCGAATAAGATTAATCACAGGTATATCCGCACCACAAAACTCTGCGTGAAGATCCAAACAATAGATTAGATTAAGACTGCTACAAGCAATGGTATTTTTAACATATATGGCAGTTCCTCCTCTAGAGGCACTGAGACGACAATAATATCCAACTAATTTATAATGTGAACTTTAATAATATTAAGCAACTCCTGGCCATTTATAAAATGTTCACAAAAACACACAATGTCAAAACCATTAGAATTTAGATATTCAGTAACTTACATCCAGTTTACTTAGGAGACTCTGCACATTGTAGCTCAAGACACGAATGCTGTTCCTACCTCTGTCGGTGGTCTTGGGTCGGCCTTTTCTCATGTCAGACGCTTTGGGAAAAAATGATTTATCAACACACCCATGGTCCAGATGGAAGTATCCAAAATGTTTTGCGCTTCATGATCCATGGCCGATACCCTAAAGGAGTAGTAACTCCCAGGATACATTGATGGGACCTGGAACACTTCCACTCCACTCACTATCGGTGCTAGATATTGTCAGACCTCCTCAGCTTTGGTATTTGATTGCAATTTAGTAATATGCAAACAGATTTTACATTCAGCAACTCGTGCACATTTAGAATTAACGCCAAGCGGATTGACCCTATCGTTTAGGACTCTGGAAGTTTTGCTTTTGGACCCACCACCCAGTTCTATTACTGACTGCACCACACAGTTGTTTATTTGTTAATTTATTAAGCGAAAGCGTTTTACAGGTCTATGATGTTTTAGCCCTATTTGCTCTTCAAGGAATATATTGCTTTTTACTAGGCTCACCTCTTCTTTTAGAGCGGTAATGGCTATGGCTTGATTCTGGATAACAAGATTTTTTTTGCTCAAGAATTCTTTCAAATACATAATTTCCTTTTCGCAATCAAATGGAGCTTCAGATCCAGAATCGTCACGAGTTGGAATCGACTCCAAGGACTCACTTCCTTAGGAACAGTAATGAATCTTGTCGCCTCCTAGAATTTTTGTGTTTTTCGTGATTTTAACACACGATTCATACGACATCATGCCGCACTTGATACGCAATAGCCATAATTTTAATTATACCTAAAGATACTCTAACCACAAAGTCGGCTAGGTTTTTACTTTGTAAAACTATATTGATTCAAATAAGAATTGACTACTATCAATCGACCGTGCACAATGTCACTTCCCGTGCATGAGTGAAGCAAAACAGAACTGTCTAAATTCGAAAGGTGATCACGTCTTGCACATTGGATTACACTTTTTAGGAATCGAAATATCTTAATAACAATAACAATAATAATAATAATTATTATTATTATTATTATTATTATTATTATTATTATTATTATTATTATTATTATTAAAAATAATGATAATTATAATACCTACGCAATACCGGTACCCGGCGCACCCAGGCGCACTAGGCTAACAACACGGTGCGCTATGGTTTCTCAGATTGTTACAGACAACAATGATGAGCAAGCTTCCCAATCCACCCCGCTCGGCTGAGGTGTTGGGCAAGATGGGGAATCAATTGGTCTCAACGGAAAAAAGTGATAAAAGCCCTTAAAGGTGTCAGAAATCATACTGCACGTGGCTTAGATAAGATTAACAACTTGAAGTTTTACGCTACTGGTCAAAGAGACCTACAACAGTCTCTAAAGGATAAGAATATTCCAGAGTTTGGCCTCGATAAGCGTGCCCTGTTGACATTATAGAAGGGTCACTTCGGAAACCATCCAGAAAACGATCAACTGTCTGACGGAGCAATACTGCACCACCTTGAAGACAACGAACCATATCGGTATCTCGAAGTCGACCAACACCGAACACAAGAATGTGAAGACAACTCTAAGAAGTAGGTATAGGCAGCGCCTACGAAAGATATGGCAATCGGGATTCTCCGGTATCAACAAAGTGGCCGCTACGAATATGCTTGCGGTGCCGGTGCTTCTCTATTCCTTCGGATTGGTGAAGTGGAGACGAGAATAGCGACGGGATCTGGATGTGAGCACGCGTAAAATGATGCATCTCAATAGTAGCATTCAACCCCGCTCATCCGTTTCCTGAATATACCTTCCACGAGATCAGGGAAGAAGAGGTCTTCTAAGTCTGGAGTGTGGCAAGCTTGTCTTGGGCGTTGTTGCCATTAAAATCGCAAATAGCGCGAACGCACTTCTGAGACTCGTGAGGGATCATGAAACTGCTAATGTCGGAGCATTCTTCTTTAGAGCAGCACGTCAAGCGACAGACCATTTAGGTCTCATCTTCTCATCCCGAATCTCTTATACATTTACTATCAGCTTGCCCGGGCAGGCAGTTTCGAAATAGATCTACCGGCGTTAGGCGGCTCTTCGGGTGCTTTACTATCACTTGAGGCATTCCTACTGTATTGATGAAACACCAGTGCTCCCATACGTTCCAGGTGATATTGAAACAGTAGTGGAAAACAACTGCCACATCTACTGGAATTATGCTTTCCCCACTACAAGCTGACTCCAGGCTAATAAGCCAAACAGAGTTCTGTGGGATAAGCGAAGTAACTCGATGTTTGGCATAGAGTTCTCTGCTCCAGCAGAAACCAACATCGAAATCAAAGAAACGGAAAAGCGAGCGAAATATGTAGAGCTTGTTGGCGAGTTGTGCAGGTTATATGCCGAATGCACAGTTCATTTTGTGGTCCTAATCGTCGGCGTTTTGGGGGAATGAGATACACAACATTCTTGAAAAAATTAAAGAGGATACCGGCATGCCGCGCATCTCCTGTGTGGTCCAAGCTATAGGACGGATTTTTGCTACATAATGATAATAATAATAATAACAATAATGATAATAATAAATATTTTTATTATAGTTTTTTTGCTATAACCATTAACAACAATAACATTAACAGAATTATATCACTAATTAAATTTGATAAATAAGGAGTAAAAGTCAGATACTGTTACATCCCAAAATTTAGCTTTTAAATTAACTAAAGCTGCCTGTAAGTTGAATTAACAGAACAAAAATATATATTCCATTCAGAATAATAATAAACCAAATAAGCAATAGCTTTTACCAATTTGCAAGGTTGTCATCGAACTAATTAAGGATATTTAGATTCCGGGAACGGAGAGCGGGATTTTACAAACTTGAATATTTAGATACGAATTTGCAAAATAAAGACCGCTTTTAGAAACAATTAATTTATTATGGGTTAATTAGGCTATTTTGCGTTGGAATTATCTAATAAAACATGTTCAGAAGGAGGTAAGTTTTGCCAGTAGTGATTTTACCTTTTCAACGTAACCTTTTGGATGTTGATTTTTTTGCAGTTTTGTATTTCTGTTTTTTATGTTTCTTTAAAATCTTATCCATAAATGACTTATCTTACTATCCAAATTCCCAGAAAAAATAAACTTAGGCATAAATTTAGATTTCAAAAATTTCAAGCAGAGATAGCGACATGAATGGACATGAACCTAGTTAAAGCACTACGGATAACTGTACCGCAAGCAAAGAGCGCTTGAACTCCCGAAGAATATTACAGTTACAGTGAAGCAAGGTTAACTGCTGTCACCCCGTGGATTAAACAGAAACAGAGTATTCCCTTATTCTTGGATTTATATAAAAATTATAGGAAGCAGTTTGGAACTTTAAAGATAAGGAATCTGAAACCTCCGAGCCTAAATGCATCTAATGCTTCAATTTGATATATATTTTGCAATTTAACTATTATTCTTGTTTTGCCTTTATTTTAGTTGAAAACAATTAAAATCCCTTAAACTTTAACCAATCAAAACAAAAAATCTATAAATTTGAAGATTATAATTGATTCCAAGCGAATAATTCCGTTACCGAATACAGAATCTCTTCAATACGTTTCGAATGACTTCAAAATTTAATACGCCTCCTCCGCATTTTGAATTATAACTATTTTAATTTTTAATTTTCATTGGGCATCTGCTGCTTTTGAATAATGTTGCGATGACTGAAATAAACAACATCAAAGATGTTGTTTAGAAAAGTTGTCCGAATATATCCGTGAGGTTGTTTTTTTTTTTGGATACATTTCTAATATTAACCCACCTCAGAAAGACATTGAACTGCCGAAATCTATAACGTCGCTTATGTGCTATTTAGGCTTTTGATATTTGCCAGTTGAATGAGAGAATCCTACCAATTTTATACTTTTTTGTCCGTTCAATCTCTGTCGAAAGGGAAACTTAATTGCCATTGCCATGAAAACAGAAACACGGCGTTTTTGCTACGGAAAGAAACATCTGGCTCGGATTATGACAAATTAAGCCCTCTTTTTAATTCAGAACTAAAGCGGAAAAATACAAATTTACTTCCGGAATCGTAAATCAAGTTAAGCCCACGGTCGACGTATTACAAACGAAGATGAAAAACGACTCTGTTAAATTTTGTAAATTACGTCAAATTATACAACGCAAGAACGGCGGTTTATCGTTCCTGAAAAATAGTTGTAGCAACAACGACATTTTGTACCTCTTCAGGCAGCAATTTTTGTAATACATTGTTTTTTACCAAGTTACAAAATCAATAAATTGCAGATTATTGTCATTGGTCTGCGACAGGTATTTATTTACCCTATGAAATATCGGATATTAAGGCTTCAACAACCTAGTGAGAACTTTTTAAAAATTATTATTTGATTATAATAATTATTTAGATGTTTCTCTAATTGTTACAACACTAACAGCACAAAACATAAACTTTCTTTTTCAATTGTAATTTTCTCTTTGTCCCTTTTTTCCTCTAAGAGCTTACTTCAAGTATCCAATTAACGTTTTATATGCATCCATAATTACATTTGTTTCTCAGTTATTTTTATTATTATTATTATTGTTATTTTTATGGATTTTCTTTACTTCATACTTCGATTCCACATAAGCAAACTCATAACATTGCATGAGGTGGCGATCGGGTGTCACCAATTAATACAAACTATTAATAATGTTTGTCAACTTTATTATTAAATATAATACCAATTTTTGGCAATATCTTTTATACCGGATGTCTAGCACGCCACTGATTAAATATGGAAACGAACGAATCCAACGTTTCCAAGCCGGTGGGGATGATCTGCGACGCAGGCAATGCGAATCCAAATTGGCCTTCGTCGCGCAGCTCATACGTATAAGTCAACGGAACTCCGAAGGTATGTTTGACCCAATCTACGCTGCTGCCGGTTGCAATGTCTAAAAAACATCAACAAAGAATGCGTCAGTGTAGAATGTTGCATGAATATAGCTTCAATCGATTCATTTCGTTTCTTTGCGAAAATATGACGAGAAAGTATCGACACAAGTGCTCAACATACGTACATATTGTTTCAGCAACGTTTCCGACAACGTATCTGGTTCCATACCTTGCAGCCAAGTCACTTACGGCGCGAAGACCGATTTCTCTCTAAAAATTTATACGTTATTATTATTTCACAAGAATTAATTGCTACGATATGCAAATTTCACTATTTTTCAGATTTTATAAAAGTTTATAAAAGGTATTGACTTATAATAATTATGAACCAAAATAATTGCTATTTGAAAACGGGGAAATTAGTGACTCTAGAAAATTGAGGTTATGTTCTCTTGAATCAATTTTTTTTAAAGATGTTTTTCTCCCTGGTTGTCCAAACACTTCAAATAATAATCCAGACAAGATATTTGTTATTTAGTGCGAAAAACAAAAACAAAAAGACAGGTAAAAATAAAAACTGAGCATAGATGATACTCCAATGGTCCCGATCTAGTTCTACATATTTTCACTTAACAACCAACCAGTCAGAAACAAATAAGAATAAGGGAAAACTATGAAACGTTAATGTCAAACCAGCCAAGTACATGTATATTCCTGATCCTCAATGTAAATAGAGATAGACATAAGTTCGTGTGATAGGGAAGCAGTGGAAGATGAGAAAATTAAATAAGTCTAGTTTAGGACCAGGTTTTTGACATTTTAGAAAATAATCTAGCTATTTGTACAGGAATTGATACGTATTGGATTTATAACTTTAACAAACATATTAAATTAATGATTTAATGAAAACAAATAATCAACTTCTAAATCTTAAAGGAAGAAAATGCGGTACATAAAGAGTTGCTGCCAAAAAATATTAATTAATATGAACTAAAAACCCAAACTATTATCACCTATTACACTAAAATACGTATTATATTAAGAAACGCCTCACCAACGACAGCAAACTAAAAATGTTTGCCTGCTAGAACTTTACACATACAACAAGCGATACAAGCACTGACATCATGACCACTGAGAGGGTGTCTATCGAATTTGAACTGATATATAGCGAGTGGACAGTTAAGAAGAGCACTCGCCGCAATCTCGGAAAGTAATGGTAAGGGACTTTAAGTGAAATTATTTATTACTAAAGTCTCCAAAATTCAAATGCAAAATCAAACAGTTTTACAACTAGAAAAGAATTTTTTACAAGCAAATACACTATAAATTGAATAGCTGCAACGCTAATATGATTAACACTTAAGCACTGCCATTACAATTTTTTGTGGCTCATGGATTATATTGAAAGAGTATTAATTACTATTAAAATTTTACATATAACGTTGGCGTTTTAACAGTAAATTTACATATATTTTGCTAAAAGAACGAAAATTTAATAATGGTAGGTCTCTGAAAATATTCCCAAACATGCCCAATTATTTAGAGTTTTTACTTTTTCAACTGATATAAGTTGTCATTTGTTGCAATAAAAGTGATATCTTTGTATTTAATTTTTTGAAAAAATAAATTTTATTTCTAGTGATGTTGCAAAACACTATCTAACTTTGACGCCTCCTGGTGGCCATTAAAGAAATTTAAAAATAATTGCATGAATGGTGGCTATGCTTACACTAAACCTGTTAACCCATATAAATAAATATACAGGAAAATGAATTAAACATATCATATGTCATCGTAAATGTGCATTTTAAAAAATTATTGTTTTGGTAACACAGATTTGTACAGCAGCTTATTGAAAGCATATTTTTTCTTTAATATTTAAAATTCATTCGGTAGATTATTAAATGCTTTTGTTACGCAATAAGCTGAAGGCGATAGGGTATGGTCTGTTCATAGATATAAGAAAGTGACCAATTGCTTTTGAATGGGATTATCCAAGGGTGGTCATTAACATATAATGCAACAAGATTATTACCTAAAGTTTCGGAATTTAAATTCAGGTAAAATTGTGGTCCGTAATAGAAAATAATTCTATACCTACCTGTGTTTAATTAGTTTGGTTAGTGTAAGTTTATTAGTAATCATTCTTATTTCGTGTGTAATACAGCGTATGTTGAATCGTGTGCGAATTATGCAAAATATGTGCGAGTCTAGTGCATCTCAGGAGATGCTCCCGCCCAAATGTAGAAAACACCATTCTATTAAGACTAAGACTAAGACACATTGACAACTGTATGGAAAATTGTGAATAATCCCATTTCAGCGAGGAAAAAAAGAAGCGATGCTGATATTTTCTCGAGTGCAGATGAAAGTGATCAAGATATAATACGGCGTAAAATTTACCAGTTATACGAGGAACAAATCGTGCTTATATTAGATATCTAAATTAGGATGCATGAAAAAGATGAAACCGGTGTTAAATGTTACTACCTTATGGAAGAATATTCAACAAATGGGTTTTAGATTTAAAAAGTTGACAAAAAGCAAATTGTAATGGACAATGCAAGTTATCACAGTAGACAGTTGACTAAAACCCCTTCCTCATGTGACACAAAAGCAACAATCCAAAACTACATGTATAATAACGACATTTATTTTCATGAAGATTATATCAAAAAGCAATTAATTGAGGTTCTACAAAGCTTGAACCTACAAAAGGAATACGTCTGCGATAATTATGCAAAAAATCTAGGGCATACAGTTTTAAGGCTTCCACCTTACCACTGTATATTTAATCCCATTGAACATGTTTGGCACCAACTGAAATCTACCATTCGCCGTGACAATGTTTTTCCCCGTGTTAACTCCAATGTCCTCAAACTTATAGAAACCGAAGTTTTTAACATCCCTCCACAAAGTTGGGCAAATTCTGTTAAACATATAGCAAAAGCAAAAAGCATATTGCAATTAATATAGAACAAATAATAATTAGAACACGCGATGATAGCGATAGTGATACTGACATATTATGTGAATAATTTTCAGTAATTTAAGTAGGTAATAAAAATAATTTGTAATTTTATTTTTGATTTAAACATCGATACATAAATAAATAAATATTGATTAATATCTTTAATAATAAAACCCCAAATAATTAAATTCTAAGCAAAGTACGGACCTGTTCGGCCATATTTCATTCTTACAGCTTGCCCGGATCTTTCCTTAATTCGTATCAGTTAGTCACTTTCTTATATTTATGAACAGACTTTACTAACTTTCCACCGCTACTTCTCTAGGAGGGCAAATTATTTTTGTGATTCGTTACATGGAGTTACACAAAGCGTTTACACAGTGTTACTCGAGTAATGCTACAGTGCAGGTTAAATATGTTGATCGCAAGGTAACAATAGATCAGAAAATATTCTGCAAATAATTTTGTAACGTCCCCATGGCGACATCCCTTAATTAACAGGAACGGTAAATTTTCAACATTCGAGTGGGTTTGTTTGACTTACGCCAAAACTTACCAACTCCCAGTAGTTGTCCAAAGGCTGGGTGGTGTGCCCGTACGGAATCAAAAGCATCTGACTGAAAGAGTGCAAACTGATGTAAGCTTCTAAATCGTTCGAAACGCTGGTGATAAAATCGGAGAAGCTATTCGTAGAGGATTCCGAAAGGGGATTTGGTCCGGCATAGAGATCGCTGCATGGCTGACTAGACGCTCCGCCATTCTGCATCCACTGGTATGGCCAGTTGCGGTTGGGATCGGCACCAACGCATAGGAAACTGTACGGGGTGCGAGTCTTACGCCACATGCGGTTCTAAACGTGGAATGTTGTTAAGATCAAAGTGAAACGAGGGACTTTTGAGTACGTACGCTGGTGTGAGTGTGAACTAAACCGTCGGGATTCGTGACAGGGAAAAAGTACCAGTCGTAGGCCTCCGCCACTGCCCTTACTCTAGGGTCGTCGCTCACAATAAACTGGTTCAAAATAAATGTAGCAGTGGCCGAGGTGATCCTGAAAATAATCGATTTCTTATAGAACATATTCAAAATTCAAACCGATCATAATGATCCTTATGATCGAAGTAATTCGAATTTGCCAATTAATTATGGATTAATTAGCTCCAGTACGATCTAATAAATTGGGTTGGACAAGAAAGTAACTGTGACCTGATTGCCAAAAATAATTGTAAGGGGCGTACTTGTTTGGTGGTTGTTACATCGTTGGCATTGCCATTCTTGGGCTCCTTAAAACTTGTAAACATTTGCTAGGAAAGCGGCTTTTTTAACATTTGACCTTTTTCCTTTTGATTCTTGATATTTTGAGTGTGTTTTTTTTTTTCAAGGGACTATATTCTTTCGCTATTCACAAATTCGGTCGCAAATTTGTTTTATAGTATTCAATTCAGCATCGAGAGATGCGTCATTGCGAAGTGTTATTAAATAAAGTATCTTTGCATATTTTATCTAACTTTTTAATAGTTACCAGAAAATTAGACAGAGACCTAACATTTTCGAAGAAGATTCTTCCTCGAACACGGAATTTTTAATCTAGACTAATCAACAACAAATTTACTAATACGCATACTGTCAAAAACTATATATATAATATAAAGCTATAAATATAAAGCTCATCTATCATTCACCTGAAAGTACTCATTACGGATTACGGATTACGGATTTTATTTGTCCTTTAATAATATCAGAGTTATATTTTATACATACCCAATAATAATTTGCATTATATTTACATTAAATGTAAGCATAATAGAAATAAATATTGTTATTATTAAATTTATTCTTCTTATTTTGTAACCCAAAGCAATAATGGAAGTTACAGGCTACTCAAAACTTCTGAAGTGTTTCCTAAACTTACCATTCTCTCGCATGGATATTAGCTTCAATTATCACTGCCTTTTTACGGATGTTGGAAGGGTATGACAGTTTAACGCCAAGAATGGGACGCCCTTGGAAAGTGGTGCCGCCGTGAACGAGAGTGACTTTGTCGTCGTAGTTGAGCGCAATGTTCCTTAGCCAGTCATAAATCTGGAAGAGAATATTTAAACCTTTTAGCATATATTTAAAAAACATGTATCTCCCTATTAAGTTATATATTTGCTCAAAAACTGATTTATAATATCCAATATTTTTTATTTTGTAATTTAAGCTAGACGGCGCCAGAATTGTCACGAATCACAAATACTATCAGTAGAGCTTTTAATACGTTTCTTCACGTCAATTCTTTTTATTGCAACATTCATAAAGATTATTAAAAATGATAATTTAAGTTCAATGTCATGTTCAATAATCACTATCAAAAACGTTTCAAATCGAGGCAATGATCAAATTTTGAAAATTCTTTCGTTGGTTCATGATCTTGCCAATCATAATCACGGTTATCGGTACTTGAACTATATCAGCGACTGTACGTCATTTTAAATATCTACCAGAATGTGGAAAACATGCGTCCCGAAATCCATAGTATCCAAGAAACACAGTATGAGACTTTTAAAATTGAATACTCACTTCATCAAGAGTGTGGTACTGGGTCCAAGTGAACTGACCGGCCATAGTAGACGGTCTGAAACCTTCGTTATCGAAAAGTTTCTGCGCATCGGGTACCACGATCTCATGGTCGATGCCTAGGTCAAGCAATTCCTGAAACTCATCCATTTTCCTAGGATCGACCATCAAATCTACAGTGGTGTTAACACCGTGAAGCATCGTCCAGAAGTTATAACTGGAGGCCGGGGACTCCTCTATTTTTTTGAGTGCCTCTACGGCTTTCTCATTCCTGGGAATGAGCCTGTAGACCGTGTGGTTGTCGAACCTCATCAGTTCTGCTGCGGCCTGGCTTAAAGCCACTGCCGCGAGGACTGCGAAAACTAGCTTCATTTCTCTGCAATATCAAATAGTCCAACGATGAAATACCATATCAATCAACGTTTGATAGTGGTTTTTGGTCAAATTCAGATTAAAGGATGAATAGAATTTTCTCTACTAAAGCTTAAACATCCAAATTTCCAAGGCTTAGTTATCAAAAATGTATTCACTTACCTTTCGTAGTGCTCGAATGCCAGTGAAGTTACTTTTCAGGCGATTATTAAGTTTTTATAGACGTTAATCAAATCGCACACGAAGAATCTTATCATAGTACTCGAATATTTGCGACGTCCTTTTCGACAACCATTTTATCTCGCACTCCAAGTCTAATAAGTTTTGTCTTGTTTCTTTTTTCTGTTTTATTAACGCGGAAATGGGGGGTTATATGTTTCCGTGAAATTTTGTATTTGTATCATTTTTCAACTTTAGTCACAGTATAACGTACATTCCAACAGTCCCTAAAATAAAAATTAAAAAAGAAAAGTCTAATATAACTAAACCTCAGTTTAATATAAGTCACGTCTTTTATTCTTCATTGGAAAAATTTACAAAAATGTTATCATGTGTTGGTGAATAAAATTAAAAAGACAAAATGCACAAATTATTTAAAATAAAAAAGGAAAAGTTTAAGTGCAAGATACAATTTAAAACGAAGTAAAGAAAAATATAACAGTAAAATCTGAATTCACGCCTATGATCCTTAGTCAAAATGGCTGAAATTCTGAAATTATGTTAAAAAATAAAAATTTCACATTTTAAAGGCATTTTTACAAGACGCTCGTTTATATTCCCTTTCGATTGGGATTCAGAATATGTGTAAAGTTATTTGAATTTGAATCATGTACGATTCGCCATGAACGGTAAATATAGAATTCAGTTTAGTTATCATACTATTTATCGATACTGATTTTTTTCCTAATAAAATTCAGCTCATTGTAAGCGTAGATAATGTTTTATCAATGGAGTGTATCGTTACTTTCATTTTTTGTTTCGAATCTTCATTGGATGGAGTGCTTGAAATTACTTTCAAAATTGCTGTTTTTATCAAAGCTCCGAGTAAATCAATGTTTGTACTATAGGTTTATTTTATGTACCGGATTGTATGGGATTACACTTATCTTAGAACTAATAAAAAATATCCAAAAAAAAAACAGAAACAATATATTATACTGTTACTTATACAAGGTGCTTGTATTTTGGTAGACAATCAACAACTTTTTTATTTTCAATAGTATGTACTCCGTGTGCCAAATAAAACGACCTACTATACGATCTGGAAACCCATAGGAGATACGAAAAAAGTTTGGTACAAAAGTTTCTTGGACTCTCCTGAAGATTTAAAATAATATAATTTTGTTGATACAGGGTGTCCCAAAATTGTACCCTCCGACGTCAATTTTGTTATTTTAAATGGAACACCCTATATGTATCGACATTTTTGGAATCCTTAGTTGAAATAAAGGTCACTTTCTTAAGAAATTCCTATTCGAATTTTCCATAATTTAGGCAGAAATGGGGGTTATCTGTTTTTCATATTTTGCTTGCCCCATATAATATTGAATAACGTAACTTATTTTATTATTAATTTATTATCTAAATTTCCTTGTCATTGATGTGTTTGAGAAATTTTAAAATTTTCAAAAAAATACGTTTTCCACACAAGTTTAGAAGTCACCTATAGTCAATTGATTCTTCCATTTTGTATTTTGTATTTGTATTTTAATAATTTTGTGTCCTCATTTTTTCCAGTTTTCCATTAAATATTTCAGCTACAAATGAATTCATAAACCAACCATATATATAATAAAATAGCCACTTATAGCACTTTAAATTGTTTTATTCTCCAAGAAAGTAGTCTTAGTTCGATGGAGTTGTTTTCCTTTTTTCGTATTCTTCGAAGATTGTAATAATGGAATCCAAGGTTTCTTCCCCTGACGGTATTATCTGATCGGCGGGCAAAATAAAACCGGCACTACCTTTGTCCCTAAGCTCGTAGGTGTAAGCAATTGTAGTATTAAAAGTGCCTTTAACCCAATCCATACTGCTGCCGGTAGCAACGTCTGTGAACACAAAATAGCATATTATCTGCAATACTAAGGTTAAATACAGGCAATACAAGAAATATACGTATCTGCGAATCGTTTGTCAAAACATGAATTTAATTTAAAAAACAGATGATAGGTTTCCATTTCGAAAACTCACCAATCGAAATCGACATTCGAGAATCGTATAGATCAACGATTTACTGTCAGAGACATCTATTAAAAATTAACAAATTCACCTATAGGTGAAAAATAAAATGCGAAAAATTTATTTTGTTACTGTTACATCGGTATTGTTGTATTTTAAAAATTGATGTCTGCGTTCTTTGATTTTTTTCGAAATTATTCTAACAGACTGCGCTACATAAACAGCTACTAGGCATTCTACGATAGTAAACACCACAAAGAGAAACCTCTCCTTGGCCTTAACAAGATGTTTTGGCAAATAATATAGATTTCTTGTTTTTCATGTTTTACCTGTACTAACCAAACTTTCTTAATGGAATCCTTGTCTAACCTAAATACTGATTATTATCTCTTATTCAGTATTTGCGACTACTATTTCTTATACATTCTTTTTTAAAATAACTTACATATACAAAAAAACTTCTTGTTGCTTAGAGTAGGAACGGAATAAAGGAAAATGCAAACCCTGCCCTCTGGCAAGAAACCATTTTGAGATTTTTATGCGATACGAAATTGGTTCGTACTTACAGATGGTTTCGGCAATATTTCCGACAACATATTCAGTACCGTACCGGGCGCTCAGAGCTTCCATGGCCTTTTCGCCGATTTCTTTCTAAAATTGAATAACATTTAGAAATCTTTTTCTTATGACTTTTGATTAATGATTTAATGATGATTAAATGAATGATTAAATCATACTTGCCATTTTCTGGTAGTTGTCCAAAGGCTCCGTCGTGTGACCATACGGAAGTAGAAGCATTTGAGAGAACGAATGAAAATCGAGGTAAGCCACCAGAGTGTCCGCTATGGATTCTATAAATTTGCTCATGACTTCGACACTGGGCTCGGAAAATGGTCTGCTGCCAGCGTACGTTTGTGAACATGGGTTTTGTGAAGCACCGCCGGTCATCCAAAGGTAGTCCCAGTTTCTATTCGGGTCGACGCCCCAGCAGAAAATGTTTTGACGCGTGCGTGTCTTTCGCCACATCCTATCCTGTTTTACAATATTTTTGGAAATTAATTTTGTTCCGATGCCCGAGTTTTTGCACTATGACTATTTAGAATCAGGTCATATTGTAATAGACCCTACTGTAACCGTAATTTCCAAACGGGACACATCACGTGACCGATTGGAGACACTCGCGTGCTCGAAGCCCCCCATCGCTTGGAGCGGAGGCAAGTGGCGGTACATATTTCATATTTAATGAAGTACTTTCCCATTTTTACCAATTTCTTTTATCATATTTGAAGAAATTACCCGGAAATATAATATTAATTAGAGACAGAGTACTGTCAAATAAACATGCACAAAGCCGAACACGAAATAGGAACATGCCACTGCTAGGAATCGACAATAGGAATTCTGCAATAATTTCCTACTATAAATTTAATATGCTCTTGAAAATTAACCAGTCAAATAAATACATCAGATTCTTCCACATTTTATTCCACTTCCATTAGGCTTAGGTGCCTCTTAAACCCCTTCAGCTTAGCAAATGTCTTGTAAATTCAGTGAATGAGCTTCTAAGACATTCCTTCGCATGTCCCTATCCTCGCGTATATCTACCATAGGCAGGACCCCTTTCCAATCCATTTTGGCGAAACGTTAGCAAGTTCGACTCAACAAAAAAGATGAGGTAGAATCACGAAGTTTTCTAAGTAGTATTGCTTCGCCTTGTATATATACTGTATTGGTGGAATACTTAAGTAGGGTCTTCAAAGCTGCAATGGGCGTTGCGCTCATAGTTCCACAAACGCATACATTATCGTAAATCCATTGTAATAATGAAAAAAATATATATGTTTGCTCTGTGACGACCGTTGAACTGAAATCAAGCATTTTCCAAAATGAACACTAAAAATGCACTTGGTGGACCATTTATTATTGGTAACAATTATCTAAACACAAAGAAACTTATACTTTTATTAAAATATCTTATTTCTGTATATACAGAGTGATTGTTATTTTCATGGACAAGTAATAATTTCTTATTTTAGATTCCATGGCCATTTTGAGTTCTTCAGAACTTATAAGACATATTTTATATATAATAACCTATACCTGAGTCTTACCGTTTGTGACATATTTTGAGTTTTATGTCAAAAGTGACGTGTGCAGATCTAAATATGCCTATCGATTTTTCCGTTTGTTACATTTCTGGGATTGATTGTGAGACTGTAGTTCAAATGAAAACACATTTTTATAACTTTATTACATTTGACATTTGAAATCTTTTTAGCATTAAGCATTAACGAAATGGTACCCACTAAAAAGTTTTTAAATTTCTTTGATATATAAAACTTTTAGCAAAAATATCTTTTTCTTTCTAAATGTTGTAAATTAAACTATCTTTTTCATTTCTTTTTAGTTGATATTAGCTTTTTTGTTAATTAAAAAATGTTTTATACACTTCAGATTGTGGCATAAAACTGTCAGACATTTATTTTCAAACTCACAGAAAACCAAAACAGTGATGTTTCTGAAGAGTTTGATTGTTTTTTTTGTGGTTTCATAGTCACAGCACTTTTACAATACGAAATAGGCAACTTTGTACAAAGTTATACTTTCTTAAAATGCGAAATACAATAAATAAATTAAAAATAAAATTACAAAAACGGGGTATTTATTTATTTTTTAAACAGGCCGCTAAAGGAGATATCCTTCTATAAGAAAATTAACCCCAATTATTTAAGGCTTTCAATCGCGGAAATTGATAGATATACTTAGACTTGCAAACGGCCACTTTTGACATAAAATCCCAAATATATCAGAAACGGTATGCATGAAACATGTCTAGAATTTTCCGAAGAATCCAAACATTATTTGTTCTATTAAAAATAAGAACATTGATACTAGCCCACGAAGACACATATGCTTGTATATATTGTCTCTAAAACTTTTTGATATATTTTTAACAGATTGCGAGAAAAGATATCATCCCATAATTAATGAGCCGCCCTGTACATTTAATCATAGTTTTCTGAGAATCAGTTTTCAAATCGTCACCGTTTTTATATTCGGCAGAACAATCTATAACTTTTAATTATATAGTTATTAAAAATATAGGGGTCCCGCCTAATGCTGATAAAACAGGAACTTATGAAGCAACAACGAAAAAAATTGAAAAAGTTCATTCGACATGCTACATGCGCGAGATTTTAAATCTCGTTTTTAACCCATGAGCTAGCGGCATTCAACAACCAACATGGCCGCTGACAGATCGTCAATTAGTTTGGATGCGGTATTTTTTATTTCATCTCAAAATCTGAACTGATGCCATTAAATTGTCAGGTAAAAAGAAGTTAAGTGTGTGGATATCGCAAACTGTAGGTTAGTACTCTCCAAGATAATATCATAGCCAACTGAAGCGCATCAAATTTTACATTAGTAGGGTCACGTTTTACTCACATTTGTGTGTGAATACTCGAATCCATCTGGGTTCATAACGGGGAAAAAGTACCAAACATATTTATGAGAAAGCGCCCTGATGGTTTCGTTTTCGAAGTTATTGACGAACTCGTTCAGAATATATGTGTTCACAGCTGATGTAATCCTAAAAATTACGTGTCAACCTACCCTACTCTACTCAAACAAGTTCGGCTGGAGGTCGTCATCCAGAAATCGAGAAAAAAAATAAACTTAGATCCGAAAATGCTTAGTTTCAGTCTGCATGCCCGTAATGAAGCTGATAGCGGGCATTTTCATCATTTTCTTTAGTGTTAATTTCTTAGATTTATTGTGTAGCAAAGGGTACAAAAAATAAATGTTCATAAAACTACGTTTTGTCAATTTTTGGGGAAGAAACTTCTTCGGACCTATGTTTATATGTACCTTTCTTTTTCTTTTTAACGGATAACGAATTTCCAGTCGAGCAATGATACACCCTGTATGGGTAAATGTCCACACCATTCTCTAGCATGAATATTGGACTCCATGAAAACGGCATCTTTCGGAACGCTGCTGTCAAAATCCAGTTTAAGCCCAATGATATCCCTTCCCTCGTGAGTTTTTCCAGGTCTCAGCACTGTTAAAATTTCGGAATTGTTGCTTGCGAGTTCCAATAACCAGGTGTTTATCTAAAGTGTTTGCCGTGATTTATTTGAATAATTTCGATGTGTATAAACCTAGAAACAGTTCTTGTGGGTTACCTCATCCAGGGTGTGATACCTGCGCCATTCAAAGAATCCATCGTCTTCTTCAGAAATCGGGTTTTCGTTATCTATTAATGCTTGTACGTCGGACACCACCAGCTCACTATCGACGTTCGCAGAGTCGAACATATTATCAATTACGTCCTCCATATGGGGAGGGATCATTAATTCTGCTGGGGTACCGACTTTTACTGCGGAACTCCAAAACTGGAATGCGGTCAAATCCGAACTCTGTTGTTCCAGTTCCCGCAGCGCCTTAAGGGCAGATTCGTCCTTGGGAGTGAGTTTGTAGACCTTATAGTTATCGTACCGGACTTTGGCGGTTGCCAGTTGTCCAGATACGGCTACCATCAGCAACAGCACAGCTACGAGACCCATTATTCCCATAAAACACTTCTTACTTCCGAATACCGATCTACTGCTCAATAGTCGCAAGCGATATAGATATTTATTTACAAATTGTTGGCGTATAATCCTACCGAATTATTCCTACATTTGAATTGACGCAGTAATTCCCTTATGTGTGATAATAGCCCGTTTTATGGGCGCTGTATTTTATTCTGACGTATCAATCGTATCAATAAATGTCGCAGAGTGATTGATGTCGCAAAAAAAGCAATTGGAAGATTTGAAAAACGCCAAAAACCTTCTATATAAGTCTATGTCTTCATACATATCAGCAATTCGTGACTGCTAATTATTTCCAATAAATTATTGGTTTTCGCCTATTTTTTATTTTGAGAACTATTCTAAGCTACCATGGATTTACCAAGTCAATGACAATGGTGGCTACTCCTCTTAACCCCCAATAGTTATGCCCCCGATTGCAGAACTTTAGTTGAACGCGAGTGCATTTAGAAGAGGAGAAATATCTCATTATCGAGTCTGAGGAACTGTAAAACTCCCCTTGGAAGAGGCAACTTACTATTCAAGATACGCTGGTGCACTATTAGGAGAGGTTACCCCATGAATGTACAATGGAACCAAAGGGCTAATTACCAAGGCGGTTTTTTATTTATGGAATAAAAATACCAGAAACATTTTTGATAGACTACATTGACAAATTTCCATAGTTTATACATGAAATGTCTACATATTTTAGTAAAAATATTTAGCACCTTTACACACATTCAAAATACTTATATGTAAGTAAATAAATTAGAATCAAAATTGTTGGAGGCAAATTTATTTATAAAAATTCTTATTATCATATACAAAAATAGCAATATTTATATAGTCCTCTTGCTAATATTGGTATAACCTATACCCACACAAGTTAACAACACTTTTTTTGATCCTGTTCCACCTTGATCTTCCTCATTTTCATAGTTTTCTATTTTAAAAGTGACACCAAAAAATTCCCTCAGATTTCTCAAAAAACCTATTGTATATTCCGTTAGAGGTCCAAGGACGATTTTTGAAACATCTTTTGGACCAAGAGCCATATTTAGAATGGCCAATGATTGAGAAGTTGAGTCTGTAATACCACCAAGATATATCTCATAAAGTAGCCTTTGCGCTGCGGCTACACCCAAATCTTCTGGAATTGAGGGCTCTTCTCCCTGTGATACTAAGTTTGATATCTGCTCTGAAGAATAGATGACACCATTGGTTGTTTCGGCATACAAATGCATGCCAAATCCAGGACTTTTACCTGACTGTTTGCCTTTGCAGTGGTCAGTGCTTATATAAACATCAGGTATAAAGTTGAGCAACACACCTTTGGCTTTTTCCACCATCCTATTTGCCATGGCTGGAGATACTCTTAGTGCATAAGCTGTGCCCCTTATTCGTTTTACCATTCCATTATCTAGTATCTGTACCGGCCGCAGCTGTTTTCGGATCGGGCATTTGAACACTACTTCTCCACCTCCCAAGGGACGCATGCCCCTTTTAGTTACTTTTAAATCCAATTCTTCATCATCTAGGATGAATTTCTTTAGTGTAGAAATCATCGATGTCTTCATTAAATCTACAGACGGATCGACGTTAGTACATGTCACACCTTGCAAGGTTACATTTAGGGGTTGTTTGCAAAAACATCCGATCATAAACAGCGCTTCTAAATAATACCCTAAAATATTTACTAATTATTACGGCAAAGTCTGAAATAACCTAACTTACCTAATCCTCTTTGTAAGGAACAATCGTGCTGAATTTTACCTCCCACTAATAAACCAGGTTGAAAAAATAACGAAGTACCGGTTTCATTCAATTCTATAATCGTGCCGTTCGTAAGTTTATCAAACAAACGGATCAGGCTAACTTCAAATTCTTTCAAGCCCGGTTCGTCTTCGGATTTCGATCTAATTTCCGTAATGTTAATTGACTTTCCACTTAAAACCGAAAGTACCAATCGCTGTTTGAAGAAATTGCAGCCTTTATATTGAAGAACGTCACTCTTTTTTGTAGAGAGCAACATTTTACAATTAATATTATTGTAGATTACGCCGTCAAAATACAGGTTAGCTAGCCAAACTTCTTCTTTGTTTGCACCAATTGCAAAAATGCTCAGTACTGACTAGTCCAATCATGTTAATAATATATTTCGAATTTGGTCAAATTGAATTGTTGGAAGACCACATAATTAGCTAGTAATAACTTTATCTAATTAGATTGCGTTAACCAAAAAATCATTTCTTAATTTGGTATATTTAAGTATTGACAACATGTGAAAAGATGAACATAATCAGTGCATTTTTTTTCTTTGCGCTTAATTGGGCTCATCTCAAATTCGGAAATGCACGCATTTTCCGGCATTCGCTGAGGAAAATTGACCGATAACAATTTTTCACGCACACAACACCCAAGGCTCCCGGTGGGAATCGAACCCAAAACATCCGGCAAATTCGAGTTCGCAGGTCATCGCCTTCCAACCTAACCGAACCCTAATCAGTGCATATGCCAGCAGCAACGAACACTGGTTATTTCTGGTCAGTTTCGGCAAAATATTTTGCGTCTAACGTAATGTTGGTTGAAAGAATACGTGTCCTGCTACAATTATTTTTGAAAACGTAGTATTGATCATTTTGGCTTTGCCTTATATTTAAATGGTGCTTGGGAGCGCTTGGAAACTTTCAAAATGTGCTCGTGCTGTGAAGATGAATATTATGAAGTATCTTGCTCGGTAGAGGAACGAATAGGTGATATGTTTTTTTGTTGCTTGTATCCATTTGACTCTATAAAAAAAATATGTTCCATCTTGTTTCTTTTATTTGACATTCAAGGGCGCGGACCGTCAATTTTTTTTGAAACAATAAGTTTTGATTATTCCACGAAGCGGCTATTATAAAATTCCAAGGTTGTAGTATTTAGTTTAAATATGTTAAAATATGGAACAAAAACTTATTCCTCCTATGCTTTCATCGCATCCCATCGCATTAAAGAATGTATTATATTTATATTTATTATTTACCTCTGGACATATACATAGGTCCCGCATATTTTAATAAGTAAAACTAATCTTTACTTGTGTATAACTTGCGACGAGATGCTAAAACTCACTGATGGCTCTTGTCATTTGTAATGTCATCTATAATCGGGCAATTAGTGATTAAGAGGCGCGTGCGCATTGGAATTATAAAGTGCCGTTATCGTGAGCCGTAGTGAGACATTTAGCATTTTCGTATATTATGGGCCGCCAGTACCTTATTCCATCCTGTGGACGATTCTAAATTCCAGATCGAGAATTATGGGAAAGTAATGAAAAGGAACGACGTGACAGAGATATTTTAAATGATTTAAGACAACGAAATTACCAGCAAGTATATAGCTCCAAAACCTCGAAGGTCTTCGGTTTACCAGGTCTGCAATTTGTACGTTTCACCCACCTATCAGTCAAATTCAGTTTTGTACCTTCTTTGCTGTTCGAAATGATTTCGAAGAGGATCGTTTTGTATATCTCGCTTCGTTATTTACCCAGATATAACAAATGGATTCTACGGCGGGAACCTTTGCCCGCCGATAGACGTTTTCATTTTAATAAGTTCTTTTGCAATACGAGAATAGACGATATGAAACTAAATACCGTTATTTTCGTAATATATCTCCGTCTGAAGAAATGGTCCATTGAATTAGCTGACTTTAATAAGAAAAAAAAGAAGGTGGGTTTAGTGTTTGGTGTGTTTTGGTTAGCCAACTTTAAACTTTAGAGAAAACTAATAAAAGCACATTTTTTATGATGCTCTGCTAGTAGCGGAACTCGCCTTCCACGTTTTAACGAATTAAGTTATATAACCCAAAAACCATTAATTTACTTAGTTTACGCAAGACTGTATAATTTTTACATTTTAAAACTAAATACACATTTTTTTTGTATTCCGTGTTTATGTTTGGTTATGTGTTATACTGAGGGAAACAAAATCTCAAATCAAAACATTGAAAATTAGGCACTCTCCAATAATTTAAGTCATAGAAGCGCTGGCAAAAACAGGTTCAATATTATTTACTGTATAGCAAACATAAAACTCTGTTACTAGCTTTCTCTGAATCGAATTAGTTTTGCCTCTATGTCTAAACTTGGGCACTTCCACATTTCCTTCTTTTATCTTGCCGACTGGGCCAACTGGCTCAGGTTTATGACAGATCCGTATTAGGCCCTATACTCTTTGGATTATCCTAATAACTATCGGCTTGATTTTTGGCAATATTCTAGCCATTTTAAGCGATTCCTGCAGTAATTGTTGGAATTGTGGTTACGGAATTGTTTTATAATGCGTATCTGTTAGACTGCTTGGGGATTTATCAAAAAGATACATCAAAAGTTTCATCCGAGTACATTCCTGAACCAACATAACTTTATTGATATATGTACATATAACATATATAGGAACAATTACTAATTATAACATATATCGAACAGGGAGTAATAAAATCCCATGATGCCTAATCGTAACAAAATTTTGAATAAAAATGTTGCCTTTGTTACTTAGGGTAAACGGGACGGCGTATCAAAAGAAACCACGCCAATGGGAAGCAAGATAATGTATTACTACGTTGATAGATTATAGGTAGACTCTTTCTATTTACTCATTCTAAATAGATAATAAAAAGAAGGCGAAGTTTAAAGAAGATATCGAATTATTTTGATTTCCTGTTACTTAATGCAGGAATTTGAAGAGGGGCGAATTGAGCCTTTGGATCTGCTTTCGGAAGACGAAGAACTGCTTTTGACTGAAGAGCAGCGTCAGCTCCTGCACGAAAGGCGATTAAAAATACTAAGAAGGATGATTCCACCGAGATCACCGCGGACAAATAGAAAAAGAAAAGGTGAAAAGCGCATGATATTATCGAGCTCCAGTGATGATTAGATATAGCTTTATAGTCATATTCGTGAAAATTTATTCTATACTATTCTATTCTATTATTTATATGTATAAACTTTATTGTGTATTTACATTAACTTTGCTGGTTGTTAAAATACTAATTTGTTTTACTCTGTTACACTAGATGAGTACTATTTGTATAGATTGTTATTCTGATTTGTTGCCAAGTAAAAATAAAAATGTTTTCTAGTTAATTGCTATTTAATGATAAACCAGTGGAGAAAAATTAGTACATAAGTGCTGCGTTTTATTTGTGTACTTTTTTGTACTTTAAGCACAATGCTGGTGGTGAGTGAAAAACAACAAAAATACAACTTATTGCCAAGACATTTATTTTTCAAACCAACAAGGCCCTATTTTTACAACAATTAATAACAAAACTAACTATAGTAGAAACATCGGCCATAGCTCCAAGTCCCTTGTCACCACATACAAGCACTTTTTCAATTACCGGAATTTCTAAATACCCCCAAGATTTCAACAATGAAATCTGGACCAAGGTTAAAGGGTGTTGATACATTTTTGTATTCATTGCTGGACAAAATATCAAAGGCTTTGTCATTTCCCATGCCCTGATAGTTGACGTGAGCAAGTTATCGCAAATTCCCTAAAACCAATGGTTCTATTATAAGTAGACTATTTCTAGGCTAGTGACACTACAAGATACTAATCGAAATTAGATAAAATCTAGTTTATTTAAATTATTTAAGACTCTGAAGTCGTTATAGCATTAAAAAGTAAACACTTACATTTGATATTTTGGCAAGAGTATTTGCGTCCAAAGGAGCAATTAGGAAAAGATCCGCCCATTTTCCTAACTCGATATGTAGCACTGGATCGCCTCTATTACTCCAAGCTAACCATTCATCTTCATCATTGAAAATATCAACATCCTGGCCAATCTTTTTGACATTAAAAAAATGTTTGGCATGCTTCGTGACGATAACCCTAATGGTTATATTTTCATTATATTTCAACAAATCTCCGATAAGTAGGGGTAACTTAATTGTGGCGACGCTGCCTGTGCAGCCAATTAAAATTCTAACCATTTTATTGTTGCTTGTCTGGAAAACCTAACTTTGACCAATCCTCTTGAGCCATAAGGTTGTTTTTCATTCGACAGTCTAAATATTCTTTGGCTTGGTTCCGGCAAGCAGAATTGTTATTCTGTTCTTTATATAAACATTTCATGTACTCCACCATCGACTTTTTGCAAAGGCCTTCGTGGTCCAGTGGAAAACTACCTTTTTCAGGCGGAGTTGGTTTAAATATTTTTTGACCAAAGGTCATAGACGACATTTGCTTGACTGTAAACCAATTGTGTTTGACCGAAAGTAATTATTCCATCTTTTTGGGCATCAAAGAAGTGTTATATTTGATAACAAAAATATTTTGGGATGACATCGAATGATATAAGAAATTAAGGTTATGCTTCTCGTGACCAAGTTGTCAGGATCAACCGCCCAGTGTCATTTCAACTTTTATTCTTTACTTTTAGCAGCCAAATTTATAAGGAGCAATTGGCAATACAGTAACCATATGGCCCAGTAGACACGATGATATTCTACGTGTATTTTTAACAGATAAAAATTGCTGTTAATTTTTTGATGTTAGACGCTATCCAATTTTTTTGAGCAAAGTGGGTTTGATTATTTTAGAGGAATAATGTATTTAAAATTTGTGTTTTTAAATTTTGATACAATAAACGATACCTTTTGATGTTTATATACACTTATGCAAAAATATTTTTAGCACGCATATAATAACTTGAGTGCATAAGGAAAATCCAAAATCCCCTATACAAGATAAATGAGGATGTTGTGTTTGAAGTACTGAATAAAATATATATTATATTAATTTATTTATTCTTTAACACTAATTTCTGTGTAATTTTTACATTTAGGGCTAATTTAGGTTAGTTTGAATACAGTGAAATACAGTATTTTAAACAAATTGTTCAATATCTTGCTTTTTAATAGTTCATAGTTTTCATTTAGCAATTACTTCTTGTCTACCGGGTTTAAGGGTTCAAGTTTGTAACTTGCATAAGTTAAACGATTCTACTTAATTTCACATTCAAATTTCTACTCTCCAAGATTAGGTGTCCCTTGAAGAATTTGATTTGTCCTTAGATTTACAAATTTGGGAAAGTAAAATGTTACATTATAAATAGAAGCAACATGGCTATGCAAAATACAACGTAGTAGTCTTTCATAGGTAATGGAAGATTTTTTAAATACTCTGATCACAGTCGTGCTTTGAATAGTATGTGGTTGTTGTAAAAGTGAACTTAAGAAAAATGAAAAAAATAAAAATAACAAAAATCGTCTGTATAACCTAGGCAACACAAGGCGCAAGGTATATGACACAAAACCAAAGCAACATAACTTTTTATTCAACAAAACTAAAAAACACAGATATACAATATTCATAAAAATATAATATTATAGTAACGCATAAATAATGAATATTAATTTAATTCCACTTAATCATAGACTAAATTCCTATGTCTTAACTAATCCTGAAAAAACTATCCAATTACAACAGAATTAATCTTACATATTTTAGGATTATATGACTATGCATAGATTACGCGAAAAACACATGAAGAAACCACTGAAATATTTTTAAGTTTTGAGCACTTTACCCCAATTACAATAAAAAAATTATTTACGTTATCTGGTTTAAATCCACTCATGCACTCGGGTGGGTACCTGGATATAAATTTTTCTGCAGCGTTTGGAAAATAGAGATAGTAATACATCCACTTATCAGTATTTAGGGAGGAGGCAGCATAGTGAATAACATAGCGCCGTATGTTTTATTAACAGTCCTAGCGATTGACACGTCAGTTCACTTTTAATTTTGGTCCAGGAGATACTTCAATCATATTTGAGCAAATAACAACCTATATCAAAGTACTGCTTACAATTTATTTTCTCCTTAATATTAGAGATAAAATGTTTGCCCGAGATTTGTTGTTAATATTCGACCGATCATTTTTCACCTATATTTTTACGGATCCTACATGCGCAGCATCGATATCACTTATACTTTTTACTCTCCTATGTTGCCTAGTTCTGTTTTTATTGAAAGTGGATGCGGAAAACATTTTGGTTTGCCTCGATATGTGATCGTTTTCAGATACGACGCTGTGGGAACTTCTAGTTAAATCGTATTCATCTATCGATCTAAAAGATTTAAAATAGGTCACGTCAATGATAGCCGCTGCGAGTCTACATTGGTTTACTCTATAACAATAGACTATGCATTAACTTACCCGCAAGCATAGCTTTCGTAATCTTCAGACCTTCGTTGGTACCCTCCCCTAGTGAGGTTTTGGTGCGCGAAGGGCTTGGCGTAAATGGGAGACTCTTCTCCGGATCTGGAGGATTTAGAAGTGACGTACTGAAGGGGAGGACTTACTCGACTAACGACAGACGAACTACCTGAACTCGAGGTGGGTGATGGTTTATCTCTTTCGTTGGGGGTTTTTTGTTTCGTCAAACCTAACGCTCGACTTAAAGACCCCTAAAAGTTGCGAATGAGCTAATAAATTTATGTGCCAAATGCCACGTCGGTAACACAAGTTACTATCGATGACGTCATTACTCTGTACTAAAAAAGGGCACTTTGCTTCTACCGCCAATTTTTTATTTCATTAATTATTAATAATTTGTCTTATCAGTTTTGTTATACCTAACTATTGCCAATTCAGTGGTTTTCTCAAATTTTCATTGAAAAAATACAATTTATACGTAATTAAATAATGTTCAAGTCAGTTTGTCTTTGTTGAGTTGTTGAGTATATAAAAAATCAGCAAAATAATTTGAATGAAATACAAAACTTACCCTTATACTCGTGCGTTTCTGGTCGGACCCTTCGGACGCCGAGGATATTCCCTTGGGATTTGGTGCGGGCGCGGTCAAACCCCCACAACTTTTCGAGAACGTCCGTCCTAATGAGCCCCCAGGCACCCTCTGTTTCGCTCTCACTCTCACATAGTGCACTAGTGTGGATCTAGCGTAACAGTGCAAAATCAAAAAAACATCGATTTAAGCAGTGCGGGACAACACAAGCATTCTATGTAGTCTGGTTTTTCGCCTAGTAGCTTGTTCTGGGAATATTTTGGGATGGTCACCAGAAAACGAGCGTCTCCTTAATGTATTCGCCATAAATGTATATATTAACTGTTTAGTTTTCGGAGAAGAGGAAAATGTTAGAGAATTCAAAATTAACTTTGATCTATTATATTTTCCAGTGGAGCAGTACTGCTGATAGCATCAAAAAGCATCGACCTATATATTATTCCACTTTTCCTTTTTATTTTTCTTTTTTACCCAATTTAAATTCTTTGAGTATTTAGAAGGCTGAATATTTGATCGCAATTTTCCAGTGTCCAGAAGAAAAACTTCTGCAATGTACATGATTTTTACAAAATCATGATTTTCCAATTCAAGGCAAATTATAAAATGTTATAATACACGTATTTACGAAAAATTTTAAAAGTGAAGAAAAAAAAACTGAAATTATTAAAGATCTACTATCCTCACTTACCAGGCATGAGAATCTGAGAAATCCTCATCTACTCCATTTTTTTTATTTTACTTTATTGTTTAAATATCTTATTTATTCTAATTGCAAAGATGCAATATAGTGGTTTATAAATTTGGTTCAGTTTATTCTCTTTTTATCAATTTCTTATTTGGTAGAAACAGAGCTCCATTTCCCTAGCCTTTTGAAGTTTTCCTAAGTACTAGAGTGACTTTGGTCAATAAATTTTGAAAAATTTCAAGATCATGTAAATTAATAAACGAGAGTCACCCTCTAATTTATAATTTTCTCTTTGGCGGACGTAGGGTACATTCTACACAATTTTTATCGTCTAATATGTGGCAAACTTTAAATTCATTTCCTAAAACAAATAAAAGAACAAACTAACATCGATGCATGCATAGAAAGACTACCCCGAACTAATTTATTTGTCAGGTAAAGTTGAAAAACTCGATCCTTATGGTATAAAATACATCGATTCTAGAACATTCCGATCGGTCAAAAGAAATATAGTTTTATCAACAGTTGCGGCAATAGCATTTCCGTAGCCTCTACAACTGTTGAAAAAGCTTAAAAGGCAAGGACGGAGAGAGGTACGTTTGTGCACTAACATCGAGGATGGCGGTGAGCACGAAGCAAAAAAGCAAAAAATTAACATAGAATGTTTGTGTCACGTGTTCCCTTAATATACATTTTACATTCATAGCAGTACCGCATTTGTTAAATTCCGTATCCCAGGATAGACCAATATCATTATGAATAAATTTATTCCCGGATCTTACGCACAGTAGATTATTTGATGATAAACAATGTGTTAATTTGGTTTATAAGTTTTTTTTTCGTGTAGGGTTGTGCCGAGCTAATAAGAGTTAGACCCATCGATGATGTCGTCGTGTGTCAAATTTTCTATCCCCCCCGAATTTGAGAAAGCATTGTGACCAGTTTATTTAACAATGTGATTCGTCTCTTTATTTTTGGTCGTTCATATTTAAAACGCAATAATTTATTTTGTTGATTATATCCTAGTTCGGTTACGTCCCACTTGTATTGTCCGACCCGGAACGATGAAAACAAAAGCTGCATCTTATATTTCACAACCTTTATTTATCTCAACTATATCGCTTATAAATGAAATACTAATATATTATATAATTTGATTTCACGAATTGCATAGCTTTGCAGCTTTTGATAATTTTCTCTCTTGCAAACGGGGAGATAAGGAGCACATTCATATGTAAAGAATTTAAGAAACAATCAGAATAGATTCAACATTTACTTAAAATGCTTCGTAGATTGGAAAGGTACAACTAGAAGATTTGACGAATTCTTCAGTCCGGTTGTGTTTTGTAATTAGAGGAGGGAAGTAGGTTAAATGACCTACCCCCACCCTTCTTTTAAATTCACGAACCATTGAAAAAAACATATGTAGCGACTTAGTAAATGCTATTACTAAGCTAGTTGTCACTTATAATTGAACATTTTCGTTGTATAATATATTCAATATATTCAATATTTATTTCACTCCACTTTTAAAGTTTATATCTAGCTATTCTGCGAAGATGATATGCAGTTGAGTTTTTTAAAGCATTTTCTTTTATCAGGAGAAACCGTTTTTACTTCTGGAAGAGCCGTGTGCCTGTGTCTGGTTCAAACTTTATCTAGGATTAGTCCCAACTGCCCGTATATAATTATCATAATTTATATACATTCACATTTTAATGGGTATACACGAGCTTAAATGTTTAAAGCATGGGATGGCATTGGTTCTGTTTTGCACTCCAAACCTCAATCAATATGTATCGTTTGACACTATTGCATCGTCATTAAGTAAATGTTGACATTTTATAAATCATTAGGCAACAAATAACAAACGATAAATTTATCTATGTTAATTATACTTATGTCCGCCCTTTTCATTTTTTATCGCGACCCTTTATCTACTGTGTTTCGAAATAACCCTTGCCGCTTCCGCCTGCAGCTCGTCCATTTGACAGAAGATGACGTACCTGGCAGGTAACACTAGCGCTTCCAACTCGGCCGTCAGATGGCGCCTTATTATGTTTTTACTAGCTGGGATTCCCAGGGCCGTGGCCATGGTGTCGCCATTGAACGACGGCTCCAGTACCACCAAGCCGCCGTGAACTCCGCTGTCTGTGAAATAAAACCCATTATATCGATGTGAATCGTGGGTACTGAAGTGTGGAACATACTAATTGCTCTACTAAAATACAAGTATTGGTTAAATAGGCATATTAAAAAATTCTAAACTCTTTATTTCAAATTAATAAATAAATCTCCCAGTAGTACTTTGTGTTATATACTTAGAATGGGGCGTTGCAAAAAAAAATACCTTTCAGGTTGTCTGCATACTCTCCTAGGTCGATACTCCTGGCCCATCGGATGAACCTCTGGTTTGTCCATACCAATGGGTCGGCGTCCATATTCTCACACTGATGTCTGCGCAATGCCAAAGCCTGGATTAAGGGTGCCGATGAGTAATATGTAAAAATCTGGCAACCATTTTTAATGCTTGCCAATTGCGAAAACACTTTTTGCTATGAACAATATTCGTCGAACAGACCAAAGTGTGTTTATTACCTGTCTGTCATACTTCATGATTCGTAGCAGATGAATCCCGTGCACTATCGATGCCTGATGAAATTTTCTGGTAACTGCTAAGTATTTTTCCAATTCTTTCTTGCTGAGGTGTTCCAACATCCGAGCGTCCACCATATTTGAGGTGAAGCTCTCGGAATACTAATGTAAATAATTGCATTATCTACGTTATACAGGATGTGATGGAAATAACGTCATATAATCTGCTGAATGAAACTTGACCAATTTTCTTGCAACAACACCTTGTATACCATAACAAATACAAATTAAACTCAAACGTCCAGAGATATGATGATCTCGATATAATTATAAAACTGCATTACTCACCTGCGATAGGCCCAAGTCCGGTAGCCATTCGCTGGAAACCCACGTATGACCCAGCTGGGCGATGCAGGGGTACCTCACCAGAGCAGGATGGCGATGTTCCTCGATCGCCAATCGAAGTTTTTTCCTGTGCATCGGATGACTGATGCCCAGTCCGCATTCCAACTCCAGATCGCTTAATTCCAGAAGCACCTGCCCGTTCAAACGACTTATCTATAAGGTATTTCGAATACGTGGTGACCTGTACTGTCATTTCTATGAGCCAATGGTGACGTGTCTTTCTTGTTTTTGGTTAGGCCTGATTGATATATTAAAAACAGGCAGTAAACGAATAAAAATTGTACCGCCGTACGCGGAGAAGTGCCTTTGGGCAATTGCAATTCTATTTTCTTATTTTGCTGTTTTGCTGCTTTTTTTCTTTAATTGAAATTATAGTTTATTTCTAATTCCGATATACAGGGGGAGCAACAGTATGGAAAAGTTCTATATTTTTCCAATCGATTTAATACGCTGCTGCTGCATATATGCACGAGTTTAATTGGCACGAGCGGAGCAGTAACTTAAAAAGTTTACCAAACGTGTTGCATACTGGACTTTGTCTACTACCGTTAGTTTTTGGGTACATTTCTGCAAAACAACACGAATACATTCATTGACCGTCAGAATTGACAAACGTCAAAATTCAAGCCGTGCGGTAAAATCTCCGAAAACATCAGATTGCTCCCTAACCCATGCGGTAATATACCGGAAATGTCCGAAGCGGCCCGGATGCGTACAGCAGAAAATAGTATATTGCGCAAAAAGTGTGGTAACGAGTTTATTTGACAATAATAGTATATATATATATATATATATATATATATATATATATATATATATATATATATATATATATATATATATATATATATATATATATATATATATATATATATATATATATATATATATATATATATATATATATATATATAACGTCAAAATTAAAATTGTGGCAAATATCTCCGAAAACATCCGATTGCTCCCAAACCCGCGCGGTAAAATCCCGAAAATGTCTGAAGTGGCTCGGATTCGTGGGAAACGAAACTGACGTGGTAAAGCGACTCTTCCCGCACGCTAGATCGGTGCGTAATTTTACAGACGGGAGTAGAAAAACACTATCAACCACGGTTCGCGAGACACTGCGGACGTGCCCGGTACAAGAGTCACAGATTTAGAAGCAATCGGATGAAAATTTTATCCATCATCGAATCTAAAATATTTACTTATAAAATACTGCCAATTAACTGGTGAATAATTCTACTAATGCTTTCTGAATACACAGTGCAACCCTTCTCTCGAAATCATAACTGAAATTTCGACACATTTTCAAACCGCTATTTAGAAAAAGTTTCGTCTAATTCGCATTTCTTTCATTGTCGTAGAAGGTAATAACAAAAACGCACTATTGAGCCAACAACATATTAAATCAATTGTTTACATTATGCTCACTAGATCGCAATTAGTTAACGTATTGTTGTGGAACCAATTGGTATACAGAAACAGAGAAACGATAGCTGAACCATAAACTAAATCTGTTTAAAATATCAAATACATTATTATAAATTTCGTCAAGTTGGAAAGAGTTTAGAAAACCTGCTGTGCGAAATAAAATAAATTAATAGATATTAGAAAGCCAGCAGATATCGCATATCGATATCGCAGATTCTATTAAATTAAAACATTGCTCCACCCTGTAGATAAAGTGTTTTTTTTTAAATTAGAATTAGATAAATTACTTCGAATTCGCAAAATCCCACTGGGTTGCGGTTAAAGGTCATTGTTTTGCTTTCGTTTGTTTCATTGCAACGACCTACCATTGTATTATCTTGTCATCGTAATGTTAGTTGATATTTTATACTTCTACATTAAACGAATGTCGAAAAAACTAACCTTTCCGCTTTTAATGTTTTCAGCACAACGGGCGCCATATTGAGGCATTCCGAGCGCCACCTCAAGCCAAGCGAGCACAGTAGGAGCCCGCCATCTTTCCATTGGTATTGAACTAGCTTCTCGCAGTAGCCTCAATTTTTCAGCGTAACCCTCTTCCGTTAGGGGAGACCAACTTCGGTAGGGTTCGTATCCGTGTTCGCCTATCAAACGACATTCAGAAATGTGCTGCGTCAAAACCTCGCATAACTTACTGGTTTCCTGCAAGGAACTAGTTTTGTTCCGATGCCTGGAGCGGGCGAACACCCTCGATATACTTCCCCAAGTACCCCCCCTTCCGGACAGTCTGTTCGACTGTTTGGTACGTCTGCCTATGTTAATTGGTTCCGGCTCCAATGGAGAACTAAGCTGTTCTACAGATCTGAAAAACGATGGTTTCGGAGACTGTACCTCAATGGCAGAGTTCAAAAACCCAAACCAACCAAAATTTTCGTTGAAAAGATAAGTTTTGAGAATTAGTTTATGAACAAATTCACGATTCACAACAATTTATTTTAATAAGACATTACATACTTTGAATTTGCGTCGCATGGAATAAACAGTACATACTCCATTCTCAAAGTCAATTTGTGATGAAATGAATACACCCAATAAATGCAAGGTACGGTAGTAGGGAAACCGGCAGTCCTGGAAATTTTAAATGAACTTTTATTGAGTAAATCGGCAAGCACAAAAGCTGGACATTATTATTAGTTTCTGAAATGGTCACTAGAAGGCGTAATTGCCATCTTGATTTTGAAAAACTGAGTTTTCGAAAAATATTTTTTTATAGTGTGTTTACTACTTTAAAGTTGACAAAAATTAATTGTTTTTGTATTAATATTATAAGTTAGTTAAATAATAAATAAGTGATAATAATAAATAATTAAAAACAGTTAAGGAAGTCAAAACCTAATAATAATGTTAGCTACGGGATAATCTTGTGCCCTTTGAAACCAGTGAAAAAAAGTAATGAAGGTAAATTACAAAAAATATTTTTATTCATGTTACCCATATAAGGTTTTCCAAAATTCATTTCCTTTTTAGTTTTAAGGTTTTCATATTTTCACTATTGCGAAATCGATATTGCGATTTGGGTTTTCACTGGTAGCGTCATAAAAGTAGTATATATCTAAAGACGCAATCGTAATCGTTGCACTCATGGCAAGATTGAGAGCTTAGGTAGGAAAATGCTTTTTCGGAATTATTTACTTTTATTTCCTAAAATATTCCAACATCCCCTACTAATTTTATTTCAAAGACAGAACAAAAGTTGAAGGATCAACTTATTAAATTTGTTTTTTAAAATTTCTAGAACCGTCCTTTTCTCTAGTACCTTACCGCGTTGTCCTTACTAGAACATCTAAAATACTATATACAAATGGATAACCTATTAAACCTAAAAATCACTTTACTTCTTTCATTTTGCGTTTACCTAGAGCGTGTCCCAGTTAGGATTGAGAAAAGTTTGGTAGTTTGCTATTTATTTATTTTATCATTAATCTTTTCGGCTACATTAAGGTAGATAAAATAGGTCAAATAAGTCAAATACCTAATAAACAGTGCTAGAATATATTAATTGTAAATTACTGTTCATACAGTAAACACCACAAACAAAAAAAAGCAAATATTCCTGCAGAAATTCACCCATTGCTCAATAATGCTTTCATTTCTTTTTTGAGTAGCAGGGAAAAACAAATCTAACGATAATAGAATAAGTCGTTTTTGAGTTACCAAAATTCGATCTGTGTCCCGGGCACTCCCCATATGGGAAATGTAATTTTTATAGTCAATTTTATCATATAGTAGAATTTCTTTAATTCGAGCAAATAATATATATTTGTGAATCCCAGCTAAAATGACTGTCAATCGAAATTTTTGTATGTGATGTTATTGCAGATTTCCGATCAAATATACTAACATCCCCACTGCGCACCCTTGTCGCATGCACGTAAGTTTTCAACCAACCTTGATAAACTACTTGGATCTACGGGTCTGGGAAAATTGTTAGCGTTAAGTGGAGATAATGTTGGGCTGCAGTCTTTAGTTGATACTGCTGCAAAAAATATTTATTGTTAGTAAACGATTAAGTCTATTGCTACATTAATACATGCAAAAAATTGCCACATTTTAAATATAACATCGCATGACGGACATCGCTAAAAAATGAACCAGTAATAAAAGCAGAAATAACCTACTACAGTACTAGATGATCGCGAAGCGATGTTTGAAACATGTGGCCAATGGTCAAATATGACACAGACACTCACAAATGTTTTGTTATTGTTAATTTAATATTATTACTATTACTAATTTATAAAGTAACTTCCCCCTCTACATAAGTTCACAGAACTTCCATTATACATCTACTTAATGAGAATTTTTTGGTTATTATTATTATAAAGCAAAAATGTTTATTTTAGTTTAGTTTACTAAAAACAAGTCGCCCCACGACACCTTAAAACACTGACGTCCAAATAAATTGATTATAGATATCTAAATACGGTAAAAACTTAATGGACGTGACCTACAAAAAGTACCGTTGTTATCCAAATTAAGACATACATTGGTACATGTGGCTGGGAGGCGGCGGCACTGCCGACATCAGCGACACCGAGTCCATATCTCTGCTGCTGCCTTCTATGGTTATGGTGGGAGCGCCGTCTGTCGTCGAATCGGACAAGTTTCCGGCTACTGAAGTGGCTCCGCCGCTCTCCCGGTCAGAACTAACTCGAACGCCGGAATCCGCGCTACAGCTGCCTCTGTCACCCGGCAACAAGCCCAAATGACCGGAGAGAAGTCCTCCGGAACCCGGAGTTAAAGCTCCGCCGCCATTAACGCTGTGTCGTGGTAGCGATGCGAGCGACTCTTGGTCCGATAGGCAGCCCCCGGCCGCCAATTGTCTACGGGCCTCTGCTAGCTGTTCCTGAGCCTGTTGCAACTGGAGCTCTTTGGCGTTTAGCTGAGCTGCAAGCGACAAGCTTCTTTCGGCTTCGTCTCTCGCGTGTCTCAGCAAACTCCAGCGCTCTCTCTCCCGCTCTTCCCGCTCGGTCGATAGTTGCTGCAAGGAAGTTTCGTCTCTCACCCGCTGAAACGAAACGAAGCGGTAGCCAACGTTGAAATAAAACTATATTAATGAATTCCAATTAAGTAGGGAAGAAACGTAATTTCTATGCCCTCCGCCCTCCAGAGGAAATATTCAATAAGAATATTTTGTGATTCCTTATTAACAACAGAAATTACAGATTGGCAACTAGAGTTCGGAATTATATTATTAGTCACCGAAAAAACCTGAGGCCAACCCCCAGATGACTTGAAGGCAACCAGACTCAGTTGTTTGCAAAATATTGAACTCTTAAAATATATGTTTAAAAACGTATACACTAAATCCACAAACTCTATGTTTACAACGCTGTAAGGTTGCCTACCAAAATTTAAAATCACATGTCCGGCAAGTATTAGAAATTTATTGAAATGTCGTTTCATGATTTGATATTATTAGACCGTCTCTGTCTCTAGTTATCGCGTCCACTGTAAAAATCTCTATTTTGGATAGATACACGACCGTTTTACTTTAAAAACTGTAAAAAATGCAAAACCGCTGCTCAAACTTGGAAAACCCCAAAAGATAATCCCATAATTAATTATGCTTTTTATGCCAGAAAAGTAATAGCTTTTAAAGCAATCCATTGTGATATTATCTGTTGCTTTTTTGGCAACTGAACCTGCTCTGCTTCATTTTGAATCTAGACCTGACATGTGAATTTTCAAATGTACACATGGATTCTATGTTATATCGATATAGCTTCTAGAGATATATAGGCTCTGCCTATGCCGCAACTTACTTATTAAGCAACTCTGAACATTTTTTGGAAAGGTCCATTCAACATGCGCATGTGGCATTCAACAACCAACATGGCCGCTGACAGAATGTCAATAAATGCGGAAAATGGCGCAAAATGCAGGTTAGTGAGTGAAATGTAGAGGCATGCGCAGAAAATCATTACCTTCTCTACCTTTCGCATCAATTTTTACCGTAGTAGGGCCACTACATTTTCTAATAGGTATATGATTACATGTAAGCACCTAAATTAATCATTATTTTTCAAATGACCGTTCTTCTTGAGACGTATTAAACCCTGTCTTCTGAACATTTCAGTCTGAATTATTTGCCGCACACCAATTAGAGATGGGAGGACAAAACTGGATGTAGTATAAAAAGCAAACAAAATACATTACTGATAAATGTGTAAAGTTACAAATGCAAGCACACATCAAGGTCCATTTCTCGGTATTATACTGTTTACTCTTTTTATACGCATATGTTTAACTGAAATAATGAGGCTTGTAGAAGTTTTTATTTTGTTTTGGAAACTAATTATGTTAATTTTATTTGGAGCCCTTTAGGAGACTTTTTGGGAAACATATGATACAAAGGAGGTGTCCGTGAGACATATATAATGTCAACGAAATAATTACTTACTTGACCGTAAGTCCGTATGAAATCTCGCAGTTCCTTTTCCTTGTCTTCCAGCGTGGAGAACAGCTGTTTCATCTGATTTAATAAATCGTATTTCTCCGCTTTCAAACGACGCTTGTCGGCCTTCAACGCTGAAATAAATATGACATTATCGAACTACAAATCATTCGAAAATATATATCGTTTTGAAATGAGAGAAAATGGAAGGCGGAAAAGTGAGCCCCAAATATATAATTGAACAATAGATTATTAACATATATCAAAACCTTGAACCTAAACAAAACTTACTAGTGAGTGCCTCTTTGGCAAGTTGCAACTCCATTTCTAACGCGTAGACAGTAGGATCCCCAGATTCATTCTCGGTTGGTGTTTTTTTGTCAGCAAGGATGCTACTAGCACCCGAAACAACCAACCTCCTCAACCGAGTCACTTCGGCTTGCAACCTCTCGTTGTCTTGGCGAAGCCGCCGTATCATCGTCGAAGATTTCGGAAAATTCGAAGGAGATGGTAGCAAGGCGGATAGATCATCCGCGTTACCGTCCGAACTACGCGGTGACCGCGGTGAAGACGAGTCTTAAAAGAAAACAATACAATCGTTGATTTTCATGTAAAACTGCACGAATCATTTGCTTTCAAACCTGTTGTAGTGTATTTATATGAAACGTACCCATATCTGGCTGACTGCTACATCCCGGTTTTGGAGAGTCGGATCTTTGGTTTTCTGGCGAAGACCTGGTATCCTTTGCCGGACTGGTACACTCTTTTATTGTCATTTCATTCTTTTTGCATTCGCCCAAAGAATTGACAATCTCCTCCGGATTTTGAAAATTCACTGGATTCGATTGCGTTTTCTGTACGTCTTTCTGAAAGATCAAACATTTTACATATATTTCAAATCTTCGAGCAAGGTATGCGTTTAACAATACTTTCACAGAGGCAATAAAATAAAAGTCCTTACTTTATTTCCATCATCGTTCGATTCCAGAGAGTTTCCATTGCCTAATGACCTACTTCTTCGCGATTCGTTCAGGCTAGGTCTATCAGTAGATGCGGGGTCTTCCTTTTTAAAGTCGCCGTTATTTATGTGCACCACTTGGTCGCTTTTTTTCGCAGTTTCCTTATTACTATCGCTGCTAAGCTGAGGTTTCGGACAATCGGCTTGAGTTACCTAGAGCAAATGAGAGAGTGTATTACAGATAGACATTAATTAGCTTGTCTATTTAATACACTCCTAAAAGAAGTAACGCATATTTGTAGAGCTTATAGAAACGTACAACACGATCATCGAAAGATATCACGTAGTTAGAGTTATCAGTTTTGGGATTGACAGAATAATCTCTGCTAGTGTAAAATTTCCGAAAAGTTGATTAAATGAGCAAAAATCTCTGAAAACACATATTAGTTCAATTGTTGCCAAAAATTAAAAGAGTAATTTAACTACAGAAGTACAGAAGTACAATGTACGAAATACACCCGCAAATAGCCAAACTGTATGTGATAATGATGAGGTTCGCCAGAGAACATGTAAATTGGTAATTAACGACTAGGCTCATGCTTATGTGGGAGCAGTGCTGCTGACAGTAACATAATAATGTTATATTATTTTATTTTACAAAAAAAAACGCTAAGGCTTGAAAAATGTATTATGCAATACTTTTTTGCTGAGTGTATTTTTAACACGACTTCCTAAGTCGTATTCTTAAGTCAATTACTGGTAGATTGTTTGTACGAGCGGCAAATTATCAGCATTGGAGTGGATCAGTTGGTTTAGTTTAAGCCTGCACTTACCGGAAGAGAAGACGATGAGGAAGCGGCTACGGCGGCGATGGTGGCGGCATCGGCAAGATGGGCGGGTTGACAAGCGGAGACGGGGGCGGGACTCGGACTGGGGTATTCGGACTCTATCCGGGAGGGTAAGTTAGAAGAGTGTTCTTCTACCATTCTGCGAAGCTTTGCCTGTCGGTAATATCCGATTTAAATGGCCGCTAAATGATAATAAACATTTACCTGAGCGTCTACGAACAGACGCCGCATTACCAGCGCCATGGCGGCGTGGTGCGTCGCCACTTTAATTGCATACCGGGCTTCGATGACGTCGCGGTTCTCTTCATGAATGTCGTCATCCTAAAATTGTTTAGAAATCGATCACGATTCAAACAACTCCAATAGCAGTTTTTTTCGAAATACGTATGGAGGCAAACAATAATCATTATTTTATTCAAATTCAAAAAGACATACAATAAAGAAAAGAAAACACGCACTTAGTTCGTGTGTTCACTATTTTATTAAAACCAATAGCTCAAAAAGATATGTACATGTTCCTATTTCATCATTTTTAAGAAGATAATATTGATGCTTTATCTGATATTTTTTGCTTGTGAGGTGAAGTGTTTGAGCCAATTTGAATTTGTTTTGTTTTGTTTTTGCGCCTTAAAGCCCAATCCGCGAGTCCAAAGTTATACGAGTTTGAAGAAAAACGGACGCGAACAGTCCGGGTAAGTCTTTTTGAGTGAAAATTAAATTTAATTGCAGTAAATTGGTTAAATGCAACAACATGAAGCTTTTATATTTTTTATAATTCAACTTATTTTTATTTTTTCGGACTTTTCCTCTAGAGGTCTATTTTTTTCTAATTTTTATGTTTAAATTTTAAAAAAAATTGATTGAATAGAAAAATATTGAATCATTTATATTCATCACACTAATGAATATGACTTTTTATGACAATTTTTTGTTATTCTCATGAGCTTCACCTATTACTTGCATTACTTCGCTTGTGATAGTTCAGGTTGTTAGTTTAAATTTTTGGCAACGTACATTACGATTTTGTATGCGTGCTAACCTTCCAATTAGCATAATTTAGCAAAAATGTTAATTTTGCAAATTTTATTAACAATTGCATTGGTCATCAACCTACGGGTTAAAGCTGCGTTGCACGAAAGTAAGTTTAATTAATTAAAATTTGCTTCAAAGATGATTTTAATTTTTAAAAAAGCAGTGGTGTGGAATTTTCTTTTCCAAAATACTCAGTTCAAACCCCGAATAACCAAAATATAATATGTCTATATGTTTATGGGTTTATATTTGTATCGTTGTAAAACAAGCACTCTAGCTGTTATATCGACGAACGTAACGAAACAACTGGATGAAGCATTGTCTCCACGTATAAAGTTTTAGTCTCAATTCTGCCTCCGTACTTGTTTTGTTATTCCTCCAGTTTCGCCAAAACAAAGCAACGCGGAATGATTTGTTCCTTATCTCTTGGTTTGTCCCACACAGGAATACCTGTTTTGAACATAATGAAAGTGGGATGTTGGCATAGATGTCTGCCATAAAAGGAGACATTGTTTTTTGTAAACCCGAATGCCCGAGCGTCGAAGCAATGATTTTCAAAAATCCTTGCCGACTTTCGATTGAACATTTGCAATCACTTATATGACTCAGTTTTTCGGAGCTGATATTTGTCCAATCCCCTAGGATTGGGGATCGGGAGTTTTCTACAATATGTCTTAGCTTTTCTTGTTTCATAGCGCAGTATATTTTCAGAATACGTCATTCTTCCAGCCTTTAAAGTCCAAGTATCCATTGCTTGCAAATATTACAGGGTACCTAACAAATGCCTTTCGAGTCATTGCTATTTCGATTTTTGGCACTTCGTCTGAATCGAATTCAGTAATCGTCACTATTGAACAATTCACACATATTCATAGACCCACCTTAAAATTATTATAACTTATAAAGATTGTTTTATTAAGGGTTGCAAAAGAGAAAGCTGTACCTACGAACACGAGTCCTAAGGGAAAAAAATGGAATTTAGTTTGCGCATAAGAAAGTTCTGGAAATTATTTATTATGGGGTCAATCATAAAATTAATCTTCTAATCTTGGAATTTTGAAACACCTTGTATTATCAATATAGTATGATTTGTCTCAATGTTGATCGTGTTGGCTTGACTCGGGTCCGGTAGATATTAAAGAAGAGAACATTAGAGACGGACTCTCAAAGATTTTGGTAATATTTTTTTTATTTAGGTGGGAATACTCTTAGTAAATTACACTAAGAAAAAACAATGGCAATAAATTCATAGCTAGGAATATCTACACATGTCTCAATTTAATTCTGTTTCACTATCAGAGTTGTCATTGAAATTAATTCTAATAGAATTTATGTTGTTTTGCATAGAAATGTAAGTATACTCAGTTTTTATATTGCAGGGGAACACGTAAAACAGTATGCCCAGCCTGTTCAGACAAATTATCGCATACATACTTTTTAATTGCCTATGGATTTAGGACCTCCAAATTTTTTTCAAAATGATAAGCAACAAGCTAATTCTTGAAATTTGGAAATCGTTTCATTTCATCAAGACACCCAACCTTTTCCTCTACGAAAATTGTTGTGTCGGGTAGCTAACTATACACGCAGGTATAAAATCATGTCAATTTAGTTACCATACCAAAATGATCAGCAATAGTTTAGTTTTTAGCTAAATCTACATAAATTGAAATATACAACTTGAAATTAAATTTGACCTACAAACAAATAGTTTTGATATAGGGTGGCCACCCCCTCAAAGTTTTATTTATGATTTATTTATAAAAAGTGATGAGCAATATGCTAAATTTTTTGCTGTAGCTTGCTAATAATGTTTGTAAATAAATGATCACATTGTCATACAAATAAACTGGTAGGATTTTTCAGTCCTACACTTTAAATTTGTTGACCTCACGATAATACGTTATTCATCAGCAACTGTAGGACACCAAAATTAAATTAAACTTTATGACATTTTCTATCTAAATCAATTAATGACCTACATAAAAATAGGTAGATTTCGCTAGTCCGACAAAAAATAGGTTGCAAGTTCGACTCTTGAACATTATTCCTGCTTAACCTCTAAATTACGGTCTAACCTATAAATTTAGTTGAGCGATTAACTTTTTTTTATTCTAAAAATATTTCTAAAGCCATAATCTATGATGCTGTTTTATACAAATGAGTTTAATTAAGTTGTTTCATTATTATTTATAATTTAAGAAATCAACATTTATTTTTTTTTTCATATTTTTTTTTTCAAGGCTGATTTTTTTATACTTGTTTTTAACTCATAACAGTATTAGATAGATAACCTTTTGAAAAAGTAAGTGGGTGATTATATGGGTGAAGTGAAAGAGGAGAGGATAAATAAATCAAAATTTTTTTCTGTTGACTTTAATCGATAAGAAATAATGCGGTACACCCATTCATTATAATACAAGTAACAAGTAAGTGGAAACGGTAAATACAATTGATAATTTTTATCCATGAAAATTATGAAAAAAATATATTATTAATTCATAAAACAATAACTCATTTTACTTTTTTTTTCTTTTCACTTAAACGACAAAACAAAAATAAAAAAATTCAACATTTTCATTTTATATTTACTTAAAAAATAAAGCATAAACCTTTCGTAACATAAATATTTACCTTTTACTCTGAACTCCTTGTAACAACAAGAGTGGTAGCCTATTACATCGTCATCCCAATGGCAATTCAGCATCATTATATTCGTGGTTTTGATGCTTTCGAGCGTTTAGATACTTTTTACACGCGAGATAAATGTCTTTAGGTTTATTACGGAGTACATTACAAAGAAAACACTCCATGATCACTTTCACAATTAAATGTTATAAAAGAAAATTAATTAACACCTGTTGACAAGCCAAATTAAACAAAACTTTTTAATGCACAATGTATGTTGTATGCGTGTGCTGGATACTACGTTGCTATGTTACGCGCATGCGCGTTGATGCGAATATATACCGCCGATTTGATATAAGTATGTGTATGTATAGATATGCACGTATATTTGAATATACACGTATGTACACATAACCACGTTTAAGTTAGGGGCAATTTTCGAAATTTTCCAGTGTAGGACTGAAAAAACCTAACATTTTATTTGTAGGACAAATGTTGATTTAGATAATTTATTTGATTATCTCAAAACTCAGTTAAAAAATAAGCTGTTGCTGATCACTTTTACATAATAATCAATTTGACATGTTCATTCTTTCAGTAACCTGTTTTACAACTTTTCGAAAAATAATAGCTGGGCGTCTTATTAAAACGAATCCACTCACAAAAATCTAGGCGGTTGCATTATTTTTAAGCAAGCATTATTAGCAAGCTACAGTAAAAAAATTAGCATGTTGCTCATCACTTTTTACAAAAAAAAAAATAGATACAACTTTGAGGGGGTGGCCACCCTATACCAAACCTTTTTGTTTGTAGGCCAAATTTAATTTCAAGTTATATATTTCAATATCTATAGATTTAGCTAAAAACTAAACTGTTGCTGATCATTTTGGTATGGTAACTAAATTGACATGATTTAAAACCTGCGTGTATAGTTAGCTACCTGACACAACAATTTTCGTAGAGGAAAAGATTGGGCGTCTTGATGAAATGAAACGATTTCCAAAGAATTAGCTTGTTGCTTATCATTTTGAAATAAGGTCCAGGGGTCCCGGACTAAGTGTTATTGGGAATATTTTTTAAAACATTATTTTCAAAACAATTTTCAAAAAGTTACTTGTATCCTCAAGCTGGAATTTTTAATATTCTTTGCAAGTAGTTTGGGGCAAATCCCTCTTCTGACGCAGCGTGTATTATGGTGATGTATTTTCCTTTATTTGAAGGTGCTTTGTTCTGACAGTGTTAAGTGGAATCAACCCATCTTTTGGATACAGTACATCCATGTCCCGAGTTTCATCAAAGTAAATTATGGATCTGTTGTATTATCTATATCTTTTAATTTCTCGAAGGTAATTAAATTTTCCCTTCCATTTCCATTACTACTTGCCATTTGTCTATTTTGCGGTACTTAATCCCATTTTACTCTATGGATGATGGCACGGCTTATATTTATTTATATTGTTTTCATTTTGTTCTAGCTTCTTTTTCAGTTTATCCAAGGTAGGAACAACATCGCTTTTGATACCGACAATATTTTTTAGTTCTTATTAGGCCTTGATCACTATTATCTATATGGGGAGTTTGAAAGCCACTACGTTTATTCCTTTTCCTCAATTCTCTACCTTAATAATGTCCCTTATCAAAGGTATTGGCGTTTTTGTAAG